ATTGATTTCAATTTACTTTCAATTTACTTTTAATTTCTTTCAATTTACTTTCAATTGATTTCAATTTACTTTCAATTTACTTTTAATTTACTTTGCGTTTTTTTCACTGCCAAAAAGTTGGTGCTCACAATAGAGTACCATCCAAACAATTATATTATTGAGTAACTGAGCCAATCATGAGGTATCCCCTTGAAAAATTGTCTGGGTGCTGCTTTTTAATAAGGGTTTAATAAGGCATCTAATTATTTGGAGAAACCTTGCATTTTAAAGTTTTAACACAACTATGGCTTTCTACATCAAAAGGGGCCAGCTTTACCCAAAGAAAGGTGGAGAAAGGGTTTTGCTTTTTTTTCACTTCCAAAAGTTGGTGCTCACAATAGAGTACCATCCAAACAATTATATTATTGAGTAACTGAGCCACTCATGAGGTATCCCCTTGAAAAATTGTCTGGGTGCTGTTTTTTAATAAGGGTTTAATAAGGCATCTAATTATTTGGGAAACCTTGCATTTTAAAGCTTTAACACAAATATGGCTTTCTAAAGTGAAAGGACCAGCTTTACCCAAAGAAAGGTGGAGAAATGGTTGTGTTTCTTTTTTTTCACTCCCAAAAGTTGGTGCCCACAATGGAGTACCATCCAAACAATTATATTATTGAGTAACTGAGCCAATTATGGTTTTTTCAGGTATCTAATTATTTGGAAAACCTTGCATTTTCAAGTTTTAACACAACTATGGCTTTCTAAAGTGAAAGGACCAGCTTTACCCAAAGAAAGGTGGAGAAAGGGTTTTGCTTTTTTTTCACTCCCAAAAGTTGGTGCTCACAATAGAGTACCATCCAAACAATTGTATTATTGAGTAACTGAGCCATTCATGAGGTATCCCCTTGAAAAATTGTCTGGGTGCTGTTTTTAAATAAGGGTTTAATAAGGCATCTAATTATTTGGGAAACCTTGCATTTTAAAGCGTTAACACAAATATGGCTTTCTAAAGTGAAAGGACCAGCTTTACCCAAAGAAAGGTGGAGAAAGGGTTTTGCTTTTTTTTTTCACTCCCAAAAGTTGGTGCTCACAATAGAGTACCATCCACACAATTATATTATTGAGTAACTGAGCCAATTATGTTTTTTTTCAGGTATCTAATTATTTGGAAAACCTTGCATTTTAAAGTTTTAACACAACTATGGCTTTCTAAAGTGAAAGGGCCAGCTTTACCCAAAGAAAGGTGGAGAAAGGGTTTTGCTTTTTTTTTCACTCCCAAAAGTTGGTGCTCACAATAGAGTACCATCCAAACAATTATATTATTGAGTAACTGAGCCACTCATGAGGTATCCCCTTGAAAAATTGTCTGGGTGCTGTTTTTTAATAAGGGTTTAATAAGGCATCTAATTATTTGGGAAACCTTGCATTTTAAAGCGTTAACACAAATATGGCTTTCTAAAGTGAAAGGACCAGCTTTACCCAAAGAAAGGTGGAGAAATGGTTTTGCTTTTTTTTCCACTCCCAAAAGTTGGTGCTCACAATAGAGTACCATCCAAACAATTATATTATTGAGTATCTGAGCCAATTATGGTTTTTTCAGGTATCTAATTATTTGGAAAACCTTGCATTTTAAAGTTTTAACACAACTGTGGCTTTCTAAAGTGAAAGGACCAGCTTTACCCAAAGAAAGGTGGAGAAAGGGTTTTGTTTTGTTTTTCACTCCCAAAAGTTGGTGCTCACAATAGAGTACCATCCAAAAAAAAATATTATTGAGTAACTGAGCCACTCATGAGGTACCCCTTTGAAAAATTGTCTGGGTGCTGTTTTTTAATAAGGGTTTAATAAGGCATCTAATTATTTGGAGAAACCTTGCATTTTAAAGTTTTAACACAACTATGGCTTTCTACATTAAAGGGGCCAGCTTTACCCAAACAAAGGTGGAGAAAGGGTTTTGCTTTTTTTTTCACTCCCAAAAGTTGGTGCTCACAATAGAGTACCATCCAAATCCAAACAATTATATTATTGAGTGACTGAGCCACTCATGAGGTATACCCTTGAAAAATTGTTTGGATGCTGTGTTTTAATAAGGGTTTAATAAGGCATCTAATTATTTGGGAAACCTTGCATTTTAAAGTTTTAACACAAATATGGCTTTCTAAAGTGAAAGGACCAGCTTTACCCAAAGAAAGGTGGAGAAATGGTTGTGTTTCTTTGTTCACTCCCAAAAGTTGGTGCTCACAATAGAGTACCATCCAAAAAAAAATATTATTGAGTAACTGAGCCACTCATGAGGTACCCCTTTGAAAAATTGTCTGGGTGCTGTTTTTTAATAAGGGTTTAATAAGGCATCTAATTATTTGGAGAAACCTTGCATTTTAAAGTTTTAACACAACTATGGCTTTCTACATTAAAGGGGCCAGCTTTACCCAAACAAAGGTGGAGAAAGGGTTTTGTTTTTTTTTTCACTCCCAAAAGTTGGTGCTCACAATAGAGTACCACCCAGGCAATTATATTATTCATTAAGTGAGCCACTCATGAGGTATCCCCTTGAAAAATTGTGTGGGTGCTGTTTTTTAATAAGGGTTTAATAAGGCATCTTATTATTTGGAAAAACCTTGCATTTTAAAAGCGTTAACACAGATATGGCTTTCTACAGTAAAGGCATCAGCTTTACCCAAAGAAAGGTGGAGAAAGGGTTTTGTTTTTTTTCACTCCCAAAAGTTGGTGCTCACAATAGAGTACCATCCAGACAATTATATTATTGAGTAACTGAGCCACTCATGAGTTACCCCCTTGAAAATTTCTCTGGATGCTGTTTTTTAATAAGGGATTGATAAGGCATCTAAAATAAAATTAAAAATAAACAGAAATAGAAAAATAAATAAAAAAAATAAAGTTAAAGCATTTGGAAAACGTAACAATTGAAAAAAAAACTGGAAAAAATCTCACAATAGAGCCACCCCCCCAACAATTGGCATGTGACTGAATTAGGAGCAAGAAATTTCTCACAATAGGGTACCATCTCTTTAATCGGGTGCAAACATTAATGATGATGGTTATGACTGGTTAATATGGATTAATGGTGGTGAATGATGATTAATGATGGTTCATAATTAATATTACTGGTTAACCCACCATAAAGGTTCTTAATCCCAGTATAGTTTAATAATGCTTAACCAGCAGTAATAATGTTAATCTGGAACCAGTATATTACTGGTTAATGATGGTTAATGATGTTTATGACTAGTTAAGGATGGTTATATAATCTTGGGTTAATAATGATCTATCATTGTTAATCATGGTTAATACTGGTTGTTACTTGTTAAGAACGGTTAATCTTGGAGGGGTCACCCTCTGGTAAAATAACAGTTTGACCCTGAAAATATGCAATTTTTTAAGTGGAAACTCATGTTTTAATCCCTATTTGGCAGGGTCCATGTGAATTTACTGGAGGGTAATGGCTACCCTCTGGTTATGTCAAACATAGCTATTGAAAATGGCCATAGTTACCAGAAGGTAATCATGGTATAATGATTGTTAAATGATGGGATACCGATTGTTTTTGCTTGGTAATGGTTAAAATATGTGGGATTCTCCCAATGCGGAATGCGCCATTCCTTTTTGTTTTTAACCATAAATGGGTGATACATACCCCCCTAAATGATAGATGTATGATTTGTTAATGATGGTTAATGATTGGTTAATGAGGCTTAATGGTGGTTAATGGTGGTTAATGATTGGTTTTACCACATGTAAAACAAAAACGCACACTATTTGGGTGACCCCCTAATCATATCTAATGAAATATCATGTTTTAAGCGGATATATAAATCTGGGGTTGACATTACCTCTACTGCCAATTTGGGGGGATGAACAGTCATTTCCCAGCTATTTTTGGGTAGAATTGGTGAGACAATCGGAGGACCTTGAGAGAATTGGGGGAATAGAATGTGGGATCATTGTAGTTCCAACAAACATGGTAGTTGCAGCAAGACGGTTGGCAAATTCAATCCACGAATTTGAGTGATCTAAGTGAATACAGTAATTGGAGCTGAGACTGGCTGAGACATACACTTCATGCTTCGACTTTATACAATATTTACAGGTGGTGAGTGGATACATATTTGGAGAAAATAGAGTTACAATGAAGTAGTATGAATAAAAGCAAGATGCTGACCCCGGAAGCATCAGTGGCACGGGCCATAAACCTATGGATGGATCCAGTGGCCACTTTAGGTCCTCCAGGCACTGTTTCCAAGGGTGGCGGCTTGATACACTTTGGTCGAACCTTTTTGAATAATGGTTGGTGAATCTATGGCAGCGAATTTGGAGACATACTGGCCATGTATTGAGTAGTTGCCTAGTTTATGTTGATTTTAATGGATTTATGTTTAAAGCAGATAAAACAACATGCCACACGAACCTAGATGTGCCGTTCCTGTCGCATGCGCCAACCAGACACTGCGCCGTATTGTGATGTTGAGAAAGGGGCAAGACAGAAATGGCAACGCATAGTGAGTAGCTGTGATTATCAAGCCCATTGCCGACCAGAAACCTTGAAGTATGATTTCCAGTCATGCCAATGCTTAAAAGGAGCTACTTGTTTCAGGCCAATATGAGTTTTGGATAAGCGATATTTCTCTGAGAAGATGGCAAGGAGCCATGACAAAAATCATGGTTTAAGACATGATTGGTGATAGCAACTGCATATAGGACCATGTTTGGACTGGGATAAGCAACCTGGACTGTGCAACCAGTGCTCGACTCAAGTTTTTGCCAAGCACGGCCATGGGGAGCCCATGTACCATCGGAACATGGACCAAACTGGTGTTTTTCCCATTAACCCTAGAATTGGTTTTGAAGAAACCTCCGCAATTCATTGAACTCTTAGATTTTCCCTTACATCAATTCATTGAACTCCATAAGGACTCATTACTTGATGGCTTAATTTTTCATGGTTCAACAGCATTTGTTCACGCAAATTCCAAATGGGTTTCAACCAGCCTGGCGCGCTCGCAGCCATGTGGGCGCTGGCGCTGGCACCATCTGGCAATGGAAGAGCCCGATGCGGTGCCACGGGCCGATGCGCCCGGAACGATGGCTAAGCTGATGAACAAAACTCCCATGGCCCATAACTATGGTTTATGATGATATATACATATATATATATATATGTATACTTATAGCTACAACTAAAGTTATTAGGTGTCTAAAGCGCTCATAACTTGGGGGAGGGCATTTTGATTATTGTATGTTTTTGTGTTTAAATATAAATATATATATATACACATACATTTGCAAAGTATGTATGTATACACATGATAATAAGGGTCTATCCCTACCACATGGGCAACCGTGATCACGGTTGCTCCAACCTTTCATTGATAGCCACAGAGGGTGTGAATGAGGCATGTTATGTCTTTATTGAGCAATTACTCTGCACAGAGCTACTCTTCAGACAAGTTGCCAGGTACCCCCCAGCATTCCAACACATGAGAACGCATCTTGAAAATGCGTTAAAGATCTCCAAATTTCACAAAACCTCCAACACATTCCAAGAAATACCTTGCTCCCACCCTGGAGCTATACATTCTTCCACTGACTCCATACATTCGGTTCCTACTTTTACCATCGCATTTGCCCCATGCCAAACACCATCACAACCTTCCAGAGAGTTCAAAAACATTCCAAAAAAGCCCAAAACATTCCAAACACATCCAAAATAATATTGAAGAACACTAATTTTCAAAACATGCCAGAACATTCAAAGTTCCAACCATACTGCTGGAAGTACAACAAATGATTTCGAATGTTTGTTTGTTTTTTCTAATCGTGGTGCAATCCTGGAAATATACCCAACAGTATCCCTCTGAAGAATACCCCTATCCAAGAGAAGCAAGTTTAGCACGTAGCTGGGGTGTTGAGAGCAACCTGATAAGTTGACCCTTGTTGATTTGTTATTTCCCAGTGATTCAACTATCAGTAACTATCAAAATCTATCAAATAATATGGAAGTTAATCAGCTAAAAGGCAGAACGCTGATGAATGATGGTTGATGGTTGGCTGATCAATCTGGAGCTTGTACCGGCTTGTTCGGAATCATTACGTTCTGTTAGTTGGCGACTCCCACCTGGTTGATAACCGCAATCTGGTTGTACTTTTTTGGGGCTTTACACTATTTTCAGATGGTGGGAGAAAAGAAGCAACCAAGTGAATCTTGGTTGTTGGCCAAAGTTCCGTGTGAAAACTGTCCTTTGTATTCGTAGGGTGCCACTACTAATTTTGCCTGCAGCTAAGCAACAGCATGTTTGGGATACCGTGAATGGACAGTGACATTTGTTTGGTTGTTTCAAATATTAGTATCATTGTTCAGGCAAGATGGCCCCGTCCCAGTTGACCTCATAATTATACCAGTGGATCCAAGCATATGGCTTTGTGTCAAACACAGTAGATCATAACCCAATGTATGGAAAGTGTTCAAAGGGAAAGTAATTTTCTCAACATTTCTTAGCCTTCAATTCGTTGAGTTGTTTTTTTCTTAGGAGAAATTTGCCGGGACTATCTCTATACTTGCTGCTAGATTGGGTTTCCTGCATGTTATCCAAGGAAACAATGATAGCATCAGCAATTCCCATCGGTAAATTTTCATATTCGCTGGTAAACATATCCCTTGCCAATCTTCCAAATGGAGTCTGAGTGAGTGAAAATTATTTCGAATGCATGATTCGAACAATTATATATATATCATGTTCTGGCATTTCCCACTAAAAGACTTTAAACAATGATGATGATGATGATGATGATGATGATACTTTTTGTTCGCATCCACATGTTGCATTGGTAAATCCCCATTCTTGTTTGGTAAATCCTGTGTTTTGCACCAATTTTCCCAACCAAATTGCTCCAAGGACTCAAACTTGGGGGCTAAACCAGGTTTACACCCCCAAACAAATTTGGGAAACCGTGGCTTTACATGATTTAATTTTACAATGTGGTAAACCCAAAAATAAATCTTCGATTTGGGGATGACGGTTACCACATGTTACCATGCATAAAAGTCGTGATAGGGATATGGTTTATGGCATTGGGTTTACCATGATTAGCCCCACTTTGTCTGCATATTAACATACCATCTTGTTGTTTAACCTAGCCATGGAACATCACCATTTTTAAGAACGGTAAACCATCTATAAATGGGCCATCTATACCATGGCTATGTTAAAAAACCATATATTAATTAACCATGGTTTTCCATGGTTTTCCTATCAATTTCCCTTGAAAAACCCATGGGCTTTTCGTTGGACCGTTGGCTCTTTCAACGTCTAGGTGTCCGCCTTGGAACGCGGCTTCGGCAGCTTCCGGCCGCGCTCACGCAGTCCCAGGTATCCCCGGTTGGTGGATTGAAATGTGGGAAACCGAGGTAACCTATACCATGTTTAGGGCTATGGTTTAACCACCAGTTTATGGTAAATTAACTGGATTTTACCACCAATTTATGGTAAGTTTATGTAAATTTGGGGTTTAGGGTTTAGGGCTGAATGGGCTTATGTGGATGAAAATGAGACCGGGATACAAACAGTCCACTTCGGATGTGTTTTGAAGAAGCACTAACACACTTTGATCAGACAATTTTGCCGAATTATGTTTTATCAATGTAGAAATGTCGGTGACCTTGTTCATCTGGGGTGTGGGAATGTTTGGGGTAGTGATGATATCCCGATATCCGCCGTTTGAATGATTTTGACCGAGCATACCTCCTGAATCAATTGTTGATCATCATAGTCGTGCGGTAAAATCTTTGTTTTGGTCATGATTGTTTATCAGTAAACGTGTCTTTGATACCTTTCTTAGAACCCACCATACCCTCCAGTAGATCATTTTCTGCGCGGAAATCCTTGGATTTTCCGCGAGGAGGCCCGTTGCGACTTGGCCAGAGTTGCCTCCGGAGTTTTTCAAGGACGCCACGGGCTGGTTGGATGAGGGACATGGCTTTGACCAGCAGGGTGATTTCACATGCAATGATCGGCAGAAACATGTGAACACATTTGATTTAAGCAGAAAATAAATGGACATTGAACCCATGAACACACAACCAAAAAAAATGAAGTAAGTTATGCGGATGAGACGATGATGGGTAATTCTATCTGAATAAATCTGCTGGCGGTTTCTTTCAATCTCCAATTGGAGGCAATTATTTGTCAATACCCAATCTGGGATGTCAATCTTGGTTCATGGTGATGTAGAAAGAGAACAGGAATTCAACCAATCAAAGATGGGGAGAGTTCTGCCCAGCAATTGCCTAGCGGCCTAGCGGCTAGCGGCTTCAGCCTACCCAGGGATGATCCGACCGAGCGATAAAACAGCCTTGAGGTGTGTAAAATGAAGCGATGAGGTTTGCATTACGTGACAAGTGGCCTCATCATAAACTAGTTGGTGGTTTGGAACATTGTTTATTTTCCAGAATATATGGGATAATCCTTCCCATTGACTTTCATATTTTTCAAGATGGTTAAAAACCATCAACTCGTAAATGATTTAAGTAACAATCATTTCAAGAATGGCGTCGTTCAGCCGAGCCTTGTGAATTCTTGCAATCTTCCCAGCCGCTATGAGGCCCATAGAAAGATTATAGTTTGGTGCAGTTGCTTGTTTCTGAAGAGTAGCGCGAAACTCAAGAGGAAAAAAAAGAAATCCATAGAAATCAAACAGTACTGTAGACCAAGGTGAAGACACCTGAGCTTGAGAAAGTGTGTAATCCTAGAGATTCTAAGGTATTTCAACCAACTTCAGCCAGGGTTTTGAATGTTTCCAGTCTTGATATCCAAGCTGCCGGGATGATCCGGCCCATTGCGACTGCCACTGAAGGGTCTCAGTTCATTTCCGCCTCAAGGGGCCCTGGTAGAGCGCTACAATATGTTAAGCTTCCGGAAGTAAGACATTCCTAGGTTTGTTTAGTCGGTGATTTTTTATTTTCCCAATGGAAAATCCACCATGACTGGGGAATATATAGTGATTTTGTTTTATTTTTTGGGCACCCCTTAAGCAAATCCAAACATTGGATTGTCGGCTCACGGTTCCTTTTTCAAAATTGCTGGTTGGTGGTTTCAAACATGAATAATCATGAATTTTATTTTCCATTTCATATATGGGATGTCATCCTTCCCATTGACGAACTCATATTTTTCAGGATGGTTATTGCACCACCAATCAGTTATTATTGTTTGTAATATTTTTTCCAGCTCTCCCATTGTTTGGGTGGTTCAATCACCAACCATTAATTAATTTCTATCGAAGGTTCCCTTTTTCAAAGTTTTGTTTCACTTTTTGTTGAACAAATCCGGATGAAAGCATTTGGGGCTCAACCTTCCGTGCAGATTTCCCCAACAAAAAACGCGAGGACATTGTGGGCTTGATCGGCGTCAAAGATGGGCACGGGCTTCTGTTGGAAGAGGCCACTCGGTCGTCAAAGATGGGTTGAAACAGGGGTGAAAGGAGATCATAATTTGCCCATTTGATTGCGGTGGTTTTCAGTACTATGCATTATCTTATCAAATGTGATTGTTTATCACAATTGTCCCTCTTAAATTTGATGATATTTGATGATTTACCATCATTTCCCTATCAAATCTGATATAATCTGATGTTGTTCAAAAGCATGTTCATGTTCCTTTCTAAATTGTTGTTTGGGCGGGCCCAATATTCACACAGACCCAGATGGGTGCCCTTGGCATAGCGGCCTAAAGAACATATAGAAAAGCTGGAACCATGTTATTGCGGTGGAAACATTATCGAACTAACAACTAACATCCTGGAAACACGTTTCCATCTTTTTTTTAATGGGGTTGCTACAGCATCAGATACCCGTGAGACTCCGTCAGAAAGCCTTGGTTTAGTGGTGGCTCTATTCACTTTGGGCAGCACGGGATGGGACTTGACCCTTTGTAGGTCCTGGTTGATGGGTCAGTGTTGAGCATGTTGATGGGTTGAAGGTGCGTGATCACTACTTTCCAAGAAAAATCAGGGATCATATTTAGCTCCATTGTGGCACCGCCACATGCTCTATCATGCTCTAGCATTGTGGCAGCTTGTGGCAGCCAAGACCTCCAGGCTTTTCCAATTGACCTTTTGCCACTGCCGCGGGAGTCACTGAGTAGCACCTCAGGGCCGGGGAGGGGTGTAACATTTGTGTTTAGGGCATTGGCCGGCCAAGGTCCGTGGTAAAACCAGCCCCAAAATTGACATGAATCGGTGGTAATTAGTCATCCCCAAAAGATAGATGTATTAAGATTTATTCTTGGGTTTACCATGGTTTACTAAGTTTAGCACATTCTTTTCTGGTTGGTGGTTTCGAACATTTTTCATTTTCCATAATATATGAGATAATCCTTCCCATTGAGCAATATTTTTCAAGATGGTTAAAACCACCAGCAGGTTTTGAATTTCCAAAAGTTCGAGATGTTTGCTGGATGGTGGGAAACAACGCCGAGGCGGGTGCTGGGTGCGCGTCGATCCTGGCGGTCTCGCCAGCTACGCGCAGCACCTTGGCAAACCGAAAGGTAGGCCCCGGTAGATTTGAATAGAACTTTATACTTTAGCGGGTTTCAATCGATTTTAACGGGGTTTAGTTAGCCAACTTGATTCTGGCATATTCTGGCTTCAGTGGTTGGTATAGTGGTGGCATGTTCTTTGCATATACCTATTTTGGGATGGGTATACCCTCTGGTAAACTATAATATAAAAAAAAACACTAATATGAGCTATAATAATAATTTAATATATATATATATATAAGTATTTGAAAATCATCACTTTCAACTTTCAATGGGTAAATCAAGGAACTAAATGGCCATTTTCAATAGTTTTTTGTATGTTTACCAGGCCGGGTCTCCCCAATTTCTGATGAAGTCCCCATGGAAAAGGTGACACCGTCACAGGCCTCAGCCGCGCCGAAGCCCCGCGCTTCGTCGCCTGCGCCGAAGCGACGCTACTTCCGTAGCAGCGTGGCGCCGAAGTTGGAACAGGCCGTGGATTTTGACGGGGAAAAACCACGGGGCGCTGGGGTTTTCATCGTCAAACAGTGGGGATTCAATGATATGAAAACGCATAACGCGGTGTCCAGTGAGAAAACCCAAAACAGGTGAGCCGAAGGAACTTTGTTGGGGATTTGGTTCAGAGGATGTGGAGGTCGACCAATGTGATTTGAAGCAACCATTTGTCGAAACCAAACTTCAGGAGCCAAAGAGTTCGGGATCAAACCTCAGAGGATTTCATCGGATTTCAGCAGTGATCCACCCAAGAAACTTGAGGAACAGGCAGCCAATGAAAAGATGGAATACAATTAGTAGACTCTAGTAATTAATGTAATTAGTAGTTATTTACAAGAAACAGTTGTTTTGAGAAAGCCAAGAGACACAAATATCAACGAGAATAGGGAGGTCTCAAACCGGCAATGCCGAGGATATATCCGAGGAAACAGCAAGAAGTGCAGTATTCATAAACCTGGCATCGAGAGTTTTCTTCTCTAAGCGTTTCCAGGGCTCTCAGACCTGTAAGGGGCAATGGAACAAGGTTTTCTCGGGCTGAACTGGCCTTGGAGTGGGCAGGCAAGGGAGGTACATCAGGTTGCAAAGCAGTTGGAATATGCAAACTGCACTGTCTGGCCGGAACTTTACAGCCTTCTTCAGGCGAACGCTTTCCTCAGCGTAAACAGCACGAATCTGACCCATCTGAATGATCAAATGTTGTTTCGGGCCATTCTGGCCCCATCCTAGTCGAGCTTCGAGCTCGTCAGGTGGTCTGGAATATCTTCGATAAGAATCAAAAGTGGGACAGCTCCAAAGTATGTGATCAGTGCCAGGAACAACAGCTTGATTGCAACAGCTACAATAGGTGGGAATGGGAGAAGAATGTGCTTCCGTGGTCAAACCACCAGCCATAATCTGACGCGAGTGACCATCGATGGTTTGAGCGACACCTCGAAGGCGATCGATCAGGGACATGGACGAGGAAAGACCGGTCGAGCGAGCGAGGACCGCATCCCGACGCGACGAACCCAGCCACCGGTTGAACAGAGAAGCACGCCAGAACTGACGGAGGCAATGCGCAAAGTTAGGAGCAAAGCCAAAGCGAAAGACGGCACGGCCGAGACATAGGAGGAAGCTGGAGTTGACCAGGTTTCGGAAAATAAGGATGACGGTTGCGCCACTTGTGAAGAGCACGCAAAGCACGCTGCACAGACACATACAACAGGTCAGAACAGTGACCAAGAAGAAGCATTTGTTGCAAATGCACGCTTTCGTGATCGCCCGGGGAAGACTTGACAGCACGCCAGGAAGAAGCAAGCAACGAGTTGACGGCAGACTTGGTGGGAACATGACCGCCCAACAGAGCGCCCAACCTGAAGGTTGCAAACCCTTCATTTGTCGGTTGTAGATCATTGAAGCGGTGCATGCATATGTGGTCCGTGGTTTCACTATTTTTTATCAACCAGATTTAGGGGGGATAATCCCACTTGACTCATAGTTTTCGTCCGTGGTTTCAATATGTTTAAGGATTAAACCCAGCTATGAAAACACCAAGGATCCATTGATATTCATTGATCCCTGGCTGTACTGCCAGGAAGCTTCATGGCAGGCACGCGGGCCCCAGGTGATTCGACCAAGAGTGGCCGTGAAGATATGCTAAGCACTGCCATTTGGCTCAACCTGGTTGGAAACTATGCTTATAAATGTCTGAGAGCCATAAGGAAAGCCCAGCATTGAATTAGAGGGCTTGAGAAGTGGTGATTCAACTTGAAACCTGCCATAAACCTGAATAAACCTGCACTTGGGGATGGCACAAATCCGACCGATATACCTATATTATCCTTTATTATGTATTATATATATATACTATATTAGATTGTAATTATATTAATATTATAAACCATGCAGTTATAATATATAATATATACATCTACCTATTACGATGATGTTATATAGAAACCAGTGGCTGCTGTGCACATCCGAAGCGAAGCCTGGAGGTGGCAGCCACCGCTGCCGCGCTGGAGATGGGACGGGAGGCCATCCATTTTTTCGCAGTGGAACAGTGGATGGGTCAAAAGCTATGATTCCATGGGAGAAATATATGGATAATATGTGCAAATATATGGGGAAAACCTATACACCATCGATATATATATATATATGGATAATATGTGTAAATAATATGGATAATATGAATATGGATACCAAGAAACCGCCAAAAATATGATAATACACTCTGCAAACATTGATGTCTTGGAGCTACACTGCAAATATTGACCGTGGCCCATATGGATACACATCCATAAATCCCACCCATCCCCATGTGACTGGGTCATCAGGGGATTGACCAAAAAAAAACATTTTTTTGGACATTAGCGATAACTATAACAGTTAAGATCATAATAGTAGAAATTAAATAACTATAGTTGTTAACCATGATCAAGACCATATAATCCATATCTAATGATGGTTCATAGTAGTTAGCAATGGTTAATCACTTTACTAATCTTTACTATTAATATCCAATGATGGTTCATGTGGGCAACCCATTTAGAATAAACCGACCATTCGGGGGATTATGGCATTGGGTTTACCACATGAACCATGTTGGGGTCCCCACGTTTCAAGAGACCTCCATTGTATCGATCATATCCCTATGTCTATGATCATGTGCAGCCATGAAATCACACTTTTCTAGCCAAGAAAACCAATATTGAGATCCATTTACCCTCTGGTTATTTGTGCCATAGCCATGGAAAATCACCACTTTTAATAGGTAAACCATCTATAAGTAGACAAGACCATTTTCCATGGCTATCTTAAACAACCAGAGGGTAAAGCCAATTTTGATTCATCAAGAAGCGACCTGCCACCACAGGAAGTGGCCCGGGACGATGCTTCCAGATCCGACCGGTCTCCGCACCTCGTAGCAGAAACGGGGGATGATCATAAGATGTGTCTGACAATGGTTGATGAACCATCAACAATAGGGAGTTACCCTCTGGTAAACTAACAGAACTATGGAAAATCCCCATGTTCAATGGGAAAATCCACTATAAATGGTCATTTTCAATAGCTATGTTAATTCACCAGAGGGTAGGTGAATTTAATTGGGATATGTCATGGGATGTAACTGATGTAACCAACCAATTGGATATGATCATGAGGGATCAACTCATTGGTATGGATTCAAAGAATTTCAAAGATTAAACTCCCAATTATTGTAATCATTTACCCATGCATAGAGGAAAAGATTAGCCAGTGGATTACGGGAAAAACGACTTTTTGTCGGACAAACCCAAATAGAACATTTACTAGCCCAAATAGTAATTTGTGGAGGTTAAGAGTCAAAAACGATGGTTTAATTTGGTTGTTTGAACCATAAACATGATCATTTCGAAGGGATATTGATTTTGAAAAACATGAATTTGACCAACCAGCTCTTCATACGGGGCTCAACCAGCAATAGTCAACCAGAGATTTTGATTCAGCAGAGGTTTGGCCAACAAATATGGTCATTGAAGAGGAAGGGTTCTTCCGAGCAAAATCAACAAACCACTACGATTTGATAGGGATTGAAACAGCCAAAACGGTACAGAATTTGATGGGGACTAAAAAATGTAAAAGGGGGTGTACTCTACTAATGCCAACACTTCTGACTTGATCCAAGAGCACAAATGGGCTCAAACGAAGGATGTCACCAACCAGAGAAGGGACTGACCTATCCAAAGTACGTAGAGAGAAAAGATGTGACTTAGTCAGAAAATAATCCAATCAGATCCAGATTCCCCCCCAGTACTGTAATCAATCGTGGCAGTGGGACACCTCTGGTTTTTTTCTGCTAGCTGATTTTCCCACAAAAAATCCCTCCATAGGGAGATGTCCCAGCTTGCCATATCTTGCCATCTTTGATGTCGGTACCGAGGCCTGACTTTTTGCCGTTGCTCACTGCAGCTGCGCAGCAGCTTGGAATGGCATCTTCATGGGGACAATGATGCCATTTTCAGATAAAGCCATGTTGTGATTCGAGTTTTGAAGGGTTTCCTTCAAGGGGTCGACAACATGGCCCATTTGGTGGAAGAATTGTGGAACCAATTCATCAAAATTCATGTTTTTAATTGTGAATTCCATTTGATGACAAACCCCGTATTTTTGCCGATGGAGCAGTGGCCAAAACCCCTGTTAGTTAATTTCAATAGGGGGTCATACTACCTTTCCTATATTGGTGAGTAACATGATCCATGAACTGGAAATCCCGTTCTGAATCAATCAGTATTTACACAAGGGTTTCGAACACTGCTTTGAACCAATCACCATCCAAGGTGAACCCCAACAGTAAGGATTGATTAAAAGCTAATTAACCACCAAGAACCACTAAAAAGGACTTGTGAACCATCTATTCTCAGTGAAAGCCTCATTTGGGATTGTTTGAAAATACGATGCATAGGGTACCCCAAGAATTTGATCTCATGAAATTGCCGTACATCGGGGGGGCAACCCAAATAGCATATCGTTGATTGTTGATGAGTTATGTCCCATTAAATCCCATTTGTATCTCCATTGTATCCCCACTAATTTGCATATTGTTGTTGGTTAAATTCCCAGTTAATATTGTATTTAATATATCAGTTAATTACATCCCATCAAATCCATTTGCTGCAAATCCCATTCAATTTCCAGAACATTTTTGCTTGAATTTCAAATAACAATCCCAAAAGGTAAATGATTTCGAATTGGTTGATCAACCCAAAAAATATTTCAAATCGTTGGAGTTACACACCTTTTTTTGTTGTTCCCTTGCTTAAACCTCTACTGTTTGAATCGTCAACGGATTGGGTTTAAGGGAACTTGTCTCAACCGGAAAGCCGATTTTTTTTTAATTTTCTCCATGGGAACAGACCTTGGAAAATCGGTGAAGATTTTCCCTTCTCCAGTGAGATCGAGCGCTTCTCCCCAGGTTGAACGCGGCCTCCTGGGGCGCCAGCTGTCGCTCTGCGCGCTTGAGTGCTTTGCGTCAGAGGTGTCAGACGCCAGGCGGGGGATTCACCCTGGCTGACCTTTTTGGCACCCCAAGTCATCACATTTTTTCATGGTTGGTACTATGATATACTTATAAAAAAAGACACTTATAAACCATCCTCAAAAGGTACGTTTACTTTTTGCGTTGCCAACATCATTGAATATATTTAAATATAAACATGTATTCTCATGTCTTGGCCATACAATCATGACATTTTTGTATGATTGTCTCGTGTTTTTGACTCTTTGGTATGCTAGATAGATTTTACATGATGTCTATGTTTCCCATGTTGCAGCTGCAAGACATGAACATTGAAACAAAGAAAGTGAATTCTAAAGTGATTTTCACATCCACACGGTGGATTTCAACCAACAAAGACCCGCATGAAAAAGTCACTTTCCACACTAGCAAAGGTTACTCATACTATTTACCCTTTGGTAAACTAACATAGCTATAGAAATTCACCAGTTTGAATGGGTAATTTTCAATAGCAAACCGTTAAATTACCAGAGGGTAATCTCCATGTTTGATCATTTTTGTAGGTTGGTTTCAGTTGACTTCCCCAATTTCTAACCTGGACTTTCTGACCCATAGCCCCCATCTGGCCATTTGAGGTGACCCAGAAGCATGGTTGGACTTTGCGGAGTTCCAGTGGTCGCAGCGCGGGGCCCATGACGAAACATGGGAGGAAATGCCGGTAGGCCACAAGACTTACCCGGTCAACAAACAAACATAGCTAATTATTGAAGGTGGCCATTTATAGTGGTCAAATCGTGGTCAATAGTTGGTTAATAGTGGGTTAATAGTGGGTAAACTAACAGTTTGCTATTGAAAATGGCCCAGTCGAAATAGTTGATTTTCCCATTTAAAGCTGGTGATGTTCCATAGTTATGTAAACGTTTACCAGAGGGTAAGTTGGGTTCCCCAAAGGATAGGGCGAGATATTCATGGAGATTCATGGCTCTCGATCCTCGGCTCAGCATCCGACCTTTGGATCTCTGCCAGCGGCTGCTGGGTTCCATGCAGTGATTATTCATTGATCGGATGGAAGCGCCGGCGTCAAACAGCAGACTGTCATCATTGCTTGGCATAAAATCCATTGGTTCACAGTTCTCTTCTTCCAATTATCAGGGAAAGTTATGTCCAAAACATGGAATTGGATGGGGCTTCTCCAACATTTTTTCAGACAACCCCTATGGGTTCCAGCAATCATCGGAATATCTTTCCATTGGGTTTCTCTAGCTTTGCAGCCATGCTGCTGGTGCTGGTGAGTGCTACCACTGGGGCCGTTTGTGGCTTTGTCGCGTCGAGTAACTTGGTCTGAAGGTGATCTCCATCAACCCACCATAGGCCATGAAAAAGTGTGGAGCGAAGACGGTCTTGGAAAGATGCAACACAAACTCTCGCAGGGTGGCAGTTGATAGTTGACCTTGTTCTTGCAACAGGGTTTCAAATAGCTTTGGCAAGCGAAGATGATGCTTTACAGTACCTCTTGAATATGGTAACTTTCCACTGCCAGGCTAAATAAATGGCCGGTCACAAAACTTGTGCCTGCACAGTTGCCCGCATGGTCACCAGCTGCATGCTAACTTGAGAACGGCATAGTTGTGGGCACAACTCCCCAAGCTGCCAATTGAATGATGGAATTTGCAATTCCAAAGCTATATCATTCCAAATTCCGAGCAGTATTGGTTTGTCAAAAAGATTAGGGGCACCTCGGTTCATGATAATTTTACGGATGATGACTATAACATACTATAACTAAACATGGGCAAACCATGCGCCTCTAAGGTTGGATTCGCAAGCGCAAGCCCAAGAAATCATATGCACAATTTGCGACTTGGCAAGAATGCGAAGTTTGGCAAAGAAAAATAATGGAATATAGGAATACTGGAAAACTGTCCCTGGTTTTCCGGTCAGAACCTCATTTTCTGGTATAGGGTGACCATGTGCATCCATGTTCACTGGTATCCCAGAATAGGTTATATAATGGGCTTATTTTTGTTGTGCTGCTGATGGCAGGATATTCACCATTCCACTTCAAAAGGCTACCAAAGGATGGGCGCTTAGCCGTGAAAGTGTTCCAAGTTAACGCCCAATACGTTCAAAGTTCTGATAGGTTTCCCAAAAATGATGAAGCCTTATGATTTGTTGGAAAAAACACATTCTATTTCTTGGTGAAACGTCCATGGTTGTTGCATAGATCAGTTGGGGGGTTGCATTGCATTCATTGAGCATCAACTAATTTGTTGGTTTGTTTGGGAGGTCAACATCATATATGTATAACATCATATGATATCATGTGCACATATGATATATACGTCTATATATATATACATATAATGTTCTTTATTATTATTACTATTATTATTACTGTGTTTACTACTATTATGTTATTACTATTAGTTTGTTTTATTTGTTTATACTTATTATTTTTGTATCTATATATACACACTCTCTCTCTATATATACATATACTGTGTGTATATATATATATAGACACATCCAATGTATCCAGGCTAGAAACCTCCCAATCATCCCCACGGCCTTTTTTTTCCAGGAGAGTTTCGAGGTGATCCAACAGAATCTCTGGAGTGATGCTGCGAAGGCGAGCGCGGCGAGCTGGTCATGTCGTGGATGTTGGAGATACAACAACTGGATGTTTATGGAGTGTGTATATATATATATACCCTCTGGTTATTTAACATAGCCATGGAAAATGGCCCATCTATAGATGGTTTACCTATTAAAAATGGTGATTTTCCATGGCTATGTTAAATAACCAGAGGGTATATATATTGGATCTGGGGGAATTGAATGGTTAATGCATGTTAATAATAGTTGATGGGAAGTTAATGGTTATTAGGTAATGGTTAATAATAATGCGAAATGGTTAATAATCTGGTTGGTGGTTTGGAACATAAATTTTATGACTGTCCATTCAGTTGGGAATTTCATCATCTCAACTGACGAACTCATATTTTTCAGAGGGGTTGAAACCACCACCCAGATATAATTAAACTGTTATTATATATATATGTATCTATATCTACAGTTAGATGCGGTTATAAACCAACAAACAGAGCTGGCGGGCCGCTCTGAGCATACGGAAAGTTCTTGTTGAGAAAGTCGCCAGTTGCCCTGGGTTGATGTGTTTGTTCAAATTCAGCAGTGTCTATACCCTCTGGTAAACTAACATAACGATGGAAAATGGTGCTTTATAGTGGATTTACCCATTGAAAATGGTGATTTAACTAACAGTTTGGTATGGAAAATCACCATCTTTAATAGGTAAATCAACTATAAATAGGCCATTTTCAATAGCTATTTTGATATAACCAGAGAGTATCTGGGCCGACAAAGAGTTGACCTGACTTTGGGTTGCATCTTTGGTTGGTTGGATGAACTTCTGATGAGATAAACCAAGTAAAACTCTAGCCTTTTTGGTTTGAAAGCACCTGGCCTTTTCCCCTACGGCAAACAAAAATGGTAGGGAGGAAAACCCACCATTGAAGATAATTCACACCACTTAGAATTCTCCATCACTTTCTACATGTGCTTTTCTCATTCGCTTTTCTCCTCGTACAGACGTCTGGGTAAATTTATCACTGTCTCACTGCGACCGGAGCCTGGATTTATCCCCGAAGTCCCAGTTGAGCAAAATACGTCTGGGTTATTTGGGGACAATTCCGAATTCCATATATATATATATGATTCCCCTGATTAACTATGATTCAGATAACATTCTTCCATGTTAGTGAAATGGAGGTTTCCAATCCATGGGATACCCCCAAATCATCAATTTTTAAATCATGTTAGTAGGATTTTCATGGGATTTTCCATTATAAACTAGCTATTTTGGGGTCATGCTACAGTAGTTGAATTCACATTGTTTAGAGGTGAAGGAGTAAGCTCCAGTAATTATGAGCCTCACCCATTGTGGACTGTTGTCTACGCATGTCTACACATCCCTTCAGGTATTTTTGGGGTCATGCATATATGGAACCCTCCAAAGATTTGCCCCGATAAGTCCCAAGCAGCACCTTGAAGCTGTTTCTGTGGAGGCCACAGCGAAGGCTGATGGTGCCAAAAACTTGGAGGTGCTGGTGGCAGTGCCATCCATTGTTTGGCTTAGTGCTTTGAAATATTATCTGGTTGGCGGTTTGGAACATGTTTTTATTTTTCCATATATTGGGAAGAATAATCCCAACTGACTAATATTTTTCAGAGGGGTTGAAACCACCAACCAGTTATGAACATAATATGAAAACTATATGAAATATGTGAATTGTTGAGGTCCCCGGGGAGTCCAAGGGCCTAGGGATTGTCTATAGTTTTCTTTTTTTGCATGACCATAGGGATTTGAATCCACAGAACTCTTTTTTGCTCGGAAACATGGTGGGTAGAGGTGTTCCTATCCCTATCTAACTGTTCCATCTATATATATATATGTATATATATATATATGTATATATATATATATGTATATATATATATGTACATATATATATATATATTTACACTCTATATATATATATTATAATATCATATATCTATATATCATTATATCTACTTACCAATGCGCACACTCATACATATATATATATATATATAATATAGTGTACGATGAATCATATGCGATATATGTGATGTGATGTGCTCAGATTATCGAGATGGTTCAACCAGCAGCCACTGCTCCGAAGTTTCCGCCCAGATCCTACGTGCCGGCAACTTGCTGGGCAAGACGTGGCCCGTCCGAATCTCCTGCCGGGAGGCCAACGGTGCATCCGGCAAGGTGATTCATTTCATCCGCCATGGCCAGGGGTTGCTTGGCACATGGTGTGGTACGCAACTATATGCGACTATGACTATGCAATGGCGGGGATTCTTTAATGTGTATTCATTTTATATTGCTTTACTCGTAGTATATGAGACATATAAATATGTGTGTATATATATATATATACATGTGTGTGTAAAGAACATGATACATTTCTTTCTTTATGGTTCTATTTTAGAGACTAACATTCATTCTCATTATAGTTCATGCATACCGACAGAATGTGATATTCCGGGGGCAGCGCTCTGGTGAAAGGTGCTTTTGAAAGGTTATTACTATGGATGATTTTCCCATGTCCCATGACATTCCCAATATTCTAGACGATATGATATTCCCATTTTTTCTAGATGATATTATCCCCGTGTAAATGATATTATACATGAGATTCCAATTTACACCCCTAAATCATCCACAGTCATAGGATTTTCCGCTATAAACCAACCATTTTATACCATTTTATGATATTTGATGGGGATCCCGCATTTGTCAAATGCTACTTTCAGCTTTGCCAAATGCCACCGCCCGGCTGAGGTTTCACAATTCGCTCTTCGATTTCAGCCGCCTGGCGCATCATCCATTCAGTAGCAGGTCAGTAGTATTATGTATATGTATACTGAGGAGGTACACTCATGAGTCTCCAGGATCACAATACTTTCCAAAGCTTGAATTAGATTCAAGGAGCTCCCCCCTGCCCCCAAGACCATGTTGATACAAACACAAACGTGAAAAATCGAACGCGCCGGTGTGCGATCCATCTAAGAGGCTTCTCGTTTGCACAACATCCAATATTAAAATTCCGGGGCAAGGGGATACACATGGAGTAAAGATGAAATCTAAAGCCAGCAGCCAGACTACTCGCGCAGTAGTTGCTGAATGGCAAACTGCCTGTGAGACACATGGATTTGTCATTCTCTCTCAAACATTGAGGTCGGTGCTAATGCTTCCGGCAACATGAGCAAGCATCAACCCGCCCAGAAAAGACTCAAGAAAAGCACGCTGGCTGCCAGTACTCTAACATGCTGTGTTTTCATATGTACAAACCTCGAACAAACTCGGAACACACGTCCCATCGGCAGTTTACAATGGCAGGAACACTTCAAGTGGCAAAGCTCTGGCATGCTGGTTTTTCATATGTACAAACATCAAGCAAACCTTGTTCAAACCTCAAATCTATGGGGCCGGACCATGCCAGCAGGTTCGACAGGATTTTAAAGGAAAGTTCAATTAAGTTCTTTTTTTGCACGCGGCAACTGTAGGTTTCCTCCGCTGCCTAGAATTGAGGTTTGATTGGGGTTTGTACATATGAAAACACAGCAGATCGAAGGTGTGGTCATGGCATGGCTTTCTCCAATAGAATGCGCAGCACAGAGATGTTTTCAAAGTATGCCTGGAGTTTGTACATATGAAAACACAGTACATCGAAGGTGTCACCAAAAAAGTGCTCATTCCTCAGTGAAATGAGCTGCGCGCAGACATTAACAAGGTTTGTTTGGGGTTTGTACATATGAAAATACAGCAGAATGAAGAGGAACAAAGCATTGCAAACAAAAACGACAGGCAAAGAATAGATGATCAAGACGTACGGGAAGCGAGCTGCATGCAGATCCGCCTGCATGGATTTTCGCGGTGCAAGCATGCAACTCCAACTACACAACCTGAAAGCAAATCCAAATCATTGACACACTTGTCGCCAAATTTCGTAAAGCCCATGATGCCACGCCACAGCATGACACTTCCAAGACACCAAAACAAGCTTCTCCAAACCCCAGCAACTTTGGAGACACTTGGAAGTACCTCTGCAGTTCCGCTGCATCGTCTTGAAGCCTACAAGGCAGCATGTGTCAACTCATGGATACACCATCATGGAGCAGCCTGTGGCAAGGGATTTGTTTCAGAGCGAAGCTGCCGGAATCATGCTTGTAGAACCACAGCAGAGCAGCAACAACTCGCTCTGCTCGCATCCTGTCGCGTCCAACACAAGTCAATCGGGAATTACCTGCCACAAACTCCAAAAAAGATAGATTTTGGCTCCAAACTCGAAGCTAAAATTTGATCCCAAAAATGGAGCCATTTTTGGCTTCGCCTAATGAAACAATAGAAGCGGTCTCCCAGAAATTGAAACTAAAAATGGCTTCTGTCAAAAGAGACACAAATTGTCCAAAACGAAAAGAAATGTCGCGGCGCCAAAAAACAAAACTCCCAGTGAATGTGCCCGACAACCCTTTTACAGATGCTCGCACAACCGAGGCGTATGTCTAGCATAAAGTTCCATTCTTCAACCAGCGAAGCACGTGACTCTCTTCATGCGTCATCATGCCAGAATCGAAGATCATACACCGTTTTTTCTGTATCATGTTGACACTGAGGAGGTACATTCATGAGTCTCCAGGATCACAATACTTTCCAAAGCTTGAATTAGATTCAAGGAGCTCCCCCCTGCCCCCAAGACCATGTTGATACAAACACAAACGTGAAAAATCGAACGCGCCGGTGTGCGATCCATCTAAGAGGCTTCTCGTTTGCACAACATCCAATATTAAAATTCCAGGGGAAAGGGGATACACATCGAGTAAAGATGAAATCTAAAGCCAGCGGCCAGACTACTGACGCAGTAGTTGCTGAATGGCAAGCAAACTGCCTGTGAGACACATGGACATGCCATTCTCTCTCAAACATTGAGGTCTGTGCTAACGCTTCCAGCAACATAAGCAAGCATCAACCCGCCGGGAAAAGACTCAAGAAAAGCACGCTGGCTGCCAGTACTCTAGCATGCTATGTTTTCATATGTACAAACCTCGAACAAACTCGGAATACGCGTCCAATCAGCCAGTTTACAATGGCAGGAACACTTCAAGTGGCAAAGCTCTGGCATGCTGGTTTTTCATATGTACAAACCTCAAGCAAACCTTGTTCAAACCTCAAATCTATGGGGCCGGACCATGCCAGCAGGTGCGACAGGATTTTTAAAGGAAAGTTCAATTAATTTCTTTTTTTGCGCGCGGCAACTGTAGATTTCCTCCGCTGCCTAGAATTGAGGTTTGATTGGGGTTTGTACATATGAAAACACAGCAGATCGAGGGTGTGGTCATGGCATGGCTTTCTCCAATAGAATGCGCAGCACAGACATGTTTTCAAAGTATGCCTGGAGTTTGTACATATGAAAACACAGCACATCGAAGGTGTCACCAAAAAAGTGCTCATTCCTCAGTGAAATGAGCTGCGCGCAGACATTAACAAGGTTTGTTTGGGGTTTGTACATATGAAAATACAGCAGAAGGAAGAGGAACAAAGCATTACAAACAAAAACGACCGGTAAAGAATAGATGATCAAGACGTACGGGAGGCGAGGTGCATGCAGATCCGCCTGCATGGATTTTCCCGGTGCAAGCATGCGACTCCAACTACATAACCTTAAAGCAAATCCAAATCATTGACACACTTGTCGCCAAATTTCGTAAAGCCCATGATGCCACGCCACAGCATGACACTTTCAAGACACCAGGACAAGCTTCTCCAAACCCCAGCAACTTTGGAGACACTTGGAAGTACCTCTGCAGTATGTGCGCATACTATTTGATTTATTTGTATGCATTTCTATATATACACACTGAAATCAAAGAAAAAACATAAATTACAGAAGAAGAAAGAGAGAGAGAGAGAGAAACAAAAAGAAACTCGTGTGATTAGCATTTTTTGCAAGAAAAATTCGTAGGTTGGAAATGTTTCGGCTTCAAAAGATCAGGGCCACGATGGCCTTGTTGTTTGCTTTAGTCCAGAGCCGGATATGCATGTCAAGTGATGCACAAGACACCATGTGTCGTTGGCAGGATTTTATGGGCCGTATACACACCTGAACAGCACTGAAAAGTGACTATCATCTCAGCAAATATAGGTGCCGCCAAAATGGGGGTTGGAAGACTACTTTCTTCTCACAATGGAAGGATGACGATAATACTTGATTATCCCAAATGGAACCCAACCACTGCCAATCCATTTGGGAAGATCGTCCTTTCCAGGTCCCACCGTCCTGTCATGTGCTGTCCAGATGACGACTGAGGCAGTGTCTTCGAATTCGAAGTTGGCGACATCAGCCCCTACCACATTCCTGAAACTTGGCTGGCACTGGAGGATGCAGTTTGCATACGTATTGTATAAGGGAGGGCTATGTTTTGAGTTGTTGTTTTTCTGTTTCGCTTGTTTTTGTTATTTTTTGTTTGTCCTGCTCCCTTTTTTTTCTTCTCCGTTTTTCTGCTTCTATGCTTCTATGCTTTTCTGCTTCTTTGCTAATCCCTGTGTTTTTGCCTCCCAAACCTAAACAACCCGAAGAGCGAACTATATAAATAAACCTGAAACCAACCCCCACACAAAAAAATAGCGCATCTAAAGCAATGGTTTTGTATTGGATCTTCATGAATGAGTGGTCGTTGTGAAGAGTGCGTCGGATTATATGTGTTTTTTTGAGTTGTGATGGGGTAGCCAGCAATGTCCCATGGAATCGTGCTTATTATTACATGTTTTAATTATTACTACTATACTATTCCATTGCTGTTGAATCAGCACTTAAATGTTTGTTGGTGGTTTGCTTGCATCTCTTGCTGGCTACATTTATCGATGCAATTGATATAATCATTTGATTGCAATTCGATACATTAATTGGTGACATGGAATCTAGAGGCGTTTGCTGCTTCAGTCCCGATTCCTTGACTTCCTCAACTTTTGTTCAGTTGAGTTCACTCCCCATGTTTGTTAAGTCACCATTCTCCACTCTGAAGGTGTTAATCCAGTCTGGACGACTGAAGTGATCCAAAACAACAGCTTGAGTGATCCAACTGCACCTCATTCATATTCTCCCCATGTTGGGTTTCTTTAAGTTTAATCCTCCATGATTGCATGGGGTTGGCACAACTATGGTAATGACCTCTATAAGTTGGGATATTTCAGAGTTGGTTGAGTCAGTTACCCTCTGGTAAAGGTTCACATAGCGAACTGGAATATCACCATTTTTAAGTTCGGTAAAACAACTATAAACGTTAGCTAGGTTCAAGATAGGTGGTAGAGGCCTTAAGTAAGATCCAAACATGTCTGGTACCTATCTTATAGCTGGATATCAAGCACCTATCTTGAACTTAGATAAATAAACGGGCCATTTTCCATAGTTTTTTGGAACTTTATCAGAGGGAAAGTCCCCCCAACGGACCAGGAGATGTTGGACCCGCCGCTGACGGAGATCGGGCGTCAGCAGGCGCTGCGTTTGCGCGGCGTCGCTCTGCAGACGGCGCCGCAGCTGGTGCTGGTCTCACCGATGAGTAGCTGGGACACGGTGCTGGAGTCGTCAGTGGGGGTTACCCGGTAACCCATTGGTGATACAAAAAGCTATGGAAAATGGCCCAGCGATAGAGGATTTACCTATAAAAAATAGTGATTTTCAATTGTGATGTTAGTTTACCAGAGGGTATCCGAAAAAGAAAACAAACTTTTCAGGTTAGGATTGTCCATTATAAACACTTATTAGCCATTCATTAATGGCTATATAAACCTATATAATCCTATAATCACTTATTATACTTTGCCCAGTGGATGAACTCATGTGGCAATGTTAGTAAAGCAATGTCATAAACCAGCCCTTTCTTGATGGTTTGTACCTCACATTTATGGTAAATTTGGTGATGGTTTACTGTTATTTTACTAACATTAAACCCAATACCATAAGATGCCATAAACCATTATCATAAAACTACCATTTGGGGATGGTTTATACATGTTTCTACCAGCCCATTTATGGTAATATTTGGTATGGTTTATTATTAATTTTACAACACTAAGTACCTGGATTTGCAAATTTTCTGGGTGCAGATGGTGGCGGTTTCACGCATTTGTACAAATGGGGTGATGATCCATAGAGATGTTCATGTTATTTTAGGGGTTGAAACCGAAAACCAGATCATATGTTGTTGGCTCAGTGAGTGAGATCCACATGACAAAATGCCCCAATGATATTTCAAACAGCAGACGACAGGAGAATTGTCATCGGCATATGGGGATGGATCAAAGCGTATTACGAACCGTATATTACCATATTCGGGGAAATACACATCCATTACCCTCTGGTAAACTAACATAGCTATTGAAAATGGTCATTTATAGTGAGTTTTCCCATTAAAAATTGTGATTTTCCATAGTTATGTTTGTTTACCAGAGGGTAAGCAGCCATATCTGCCTTACAACCCCCCAACTTTTACGGGAAATCACCAAGCAGAACACCGGGTCCGAAATCACTGAAGGCCGGGCCCTCATGACGTCCAACATCGCCTATGCTCACCTGGTGGGAAAGATTCCCTTCATCGCGCACGATGGATGTAAGGACCCGGATTTGAATTCGAATAGCTGTCCGGTGGCCACATTGCCGGCTGAATTGCAACAGCTATGTTAGTTTACCAGAGGGTATCATGTTATTTTCGGATAATCTCATTATTTTTGATGATTGAACCAGAACAACTTGGACTGAGCCAGATTAAGCTAGATTTTAATCTGGAATATTTGATGCAATGTTGTGTGTTAATCACTCACTATTGTCTGAAACATCGACTCAGATTGTTCTCCAGTGTTTGAAGAAATCTTCACTTTTCAACTTATATAGATGATTTTCCCATGAGCAAGTTCATGATATTGACATTATTATATTGTTGATGGTAAGTTATCATAAACCATAACACAGTGCTTGTTTCTGCCACTGCTTTCTCCAGGAAAAGTCGCACGCCATGGCGGCGGACTACCGACGTTCTGCCACCATGGCCCAGGCGGACTTTCCCAATGTGGACTTCAGTCGCTTCGCGTTGAAAGCGGTGGGTTTGAACATGGGAGATTGAAGCAACACACACGCACATATATATATATAATTATATAATTTTATAAAATATGTATGAGGGGGGAAATATGATGATATGATATGATCTACGGATTTAAGTGTTTTAAGGTGCAAGATAAGAAGCCAATTTGATATGACACTTGGGTGAGCCCCAAGGCTTGGTCCCAGACAAGGACGGGGCGTGATGTTCGGGGTCAAAATCCAACTGATCTTGGTATAAGGCCATGGTTACCATCCCCCGGGTATCACCATTTTGATAGGGTGGTATGGTTACCATTTGAAAATTGGTGGTTATGGCATTGTCTTACCATGTTTTACATACATTAATTTTAAGTAATGTCATAAACTACCCATACTTTGATTGTTTATATCACCCATTCATGGTGAAATCATGTAAATGTGGGGATGGTTTGCCATTTTTGCTTTGCTCACATTAAAGTGATTGCAACGAACTTTTCCATTTTTCCAGGGTTATATGTTTGATGCAAATGGATACGATCACCAACCATGTGAAACCCAACTTGTCCCGTTGAAAATCCAACATGTTTCAATTCCAATATATTTTCTTCAAATCGATGCTTAACTGACAGACCTATGTTTGATGATGTGTGATGCTTCAATACCAATTTTTGCTTACTCGACTCCCCATGGCCCATGTTTGCCCACGGTTGGTTGAATCCCCATGTTTCATGCTTAAATCCACTAGTCTTCCCCTCCGAAACGCTGCTGCACAGGACCCGCAGCTTGACGCCTTGAGACCCGAGACGGACATGGATGTGGCGCAGCGGGCCTACGACTTCATGCTCTTCATCCGAGATCGCCCCGAGACGGAGATGCCGAGACGGAAATTTGGGTGGGCGCGGAAAAAAGTAGGTTGAAGATAATCAAAACCCCGTGTGTAGTGGACCGATCGATTTTTTTTGCAATGATTTGTGCATTTATGTATTTATGCATTGATGTAAGGGTTGAAGGCGTCAGTTCCAATATATAGCAAGTCCACACCTTTTTTGAGGGGTAATCATGACAGTTGGCTGAATAAGTGAAATCCAATGGCCACCGAAATCACGTTTCCCAAATGGATCAGACGTAGCAGTCATCACGTCACGCCGCCTGGACCTGGGAACTTGAAATTGCCGGAACGATTTTTGGGATAGGTAGATCAATGTAACATGATCCACAGGGTGATGCTCCCTATTTATAAACTGGATTAATTATAAACTCCATTATAGACAACCAGCTAACATACCATCCATGTTCGTCTTAGAGATTTTGTGATGGGTGAATTTGGGGGCAAATGTCTAGGAAAAGACTCAGGATTCTATACGCTGATAGAATGAGAACGGGTTTATATATTCATTGAAACCAGGTGTTTTCCCTTGCCATGTCATTTTCTTATACTTCCTTGGTAGTCAGCTTCACCGGAAACACACAGACACAGCCATATCAGCCATGAACCAAGGATCGTAGTCTCCACACATTCTGCGTGGCTCTTCAATGTCTTCAATGTTGTGATGAAATGCCACTCGATGCACTGATGTCACGAGTTTTTTTGGATTGATTTCAGCGCTGTTGAAGCACCATGCTTCACATGTTCCAACCTACTGTAGTTTATACATATTTATACTATTTTATACTGTCATGCTCCTGACTCTGAATATGATAGATAAATCAAGGGTTGTTCCGAGTTGATCCAACCCAATTATAGGTATAAATGGTAGCCAGTTTGGTAATTTCACATTTGTTTAATCTCGTTTATGTATGATGTATTTATCTACAGTAAACCATAGAATTCACCTAGTTGTTTGCACCAAGCTATCGTACCCCAAATGAGGCAAAACACCCCCTTCCCATCCACGCCCAGGCGACTCGCCAGAGGTGGCGGAGTGGTTCGCCAACGGCGAAATGAGGTCCGTGCGGGTGAGCTTTGAGAGCTGAAAACATGCGGCCCGTTGGCCCGTTGCGGGGACGTACGGGCGCAAAGGATGATGTTACCCTCTGGTAAACTAACATAACAACTATGGAAAATCACCATCTTTAATGGGTAAATCAACTATAAATGTGCCATATTCAATAGTTATGTTTGACATAACTAGAGGGTATCACTGCTTGCTGCCATCCGAAAACATGGGAAAAACGTGGGGTTGCCACCTGGCAGATGTTAACATTTGAAACATTGGGCCACATACCTGCTTGTTAATTCTATGCATATATGGATGCATGTATATGTATGTTTTATGCCCATCCTGTGTCACGTTGGGCCCCTTCCAGAGATTGTTGTATCAAATATAATTCAATATATATTTATTTATATATATATATATATGTGAATATATATATATATTAACATATTATATATATATATATGCACTATGCCATATATATGTATAATTTGTTTCTCGATATGTTGTCAATATAGGGGTTATAGCCCTAAGAATGGTAGTAGAGTAGGAGATATACTGAAAAAACAAAGCTGATCTACATATATAATATACACATTACCCTTTGGTAAACTAACATAGCTATGGAAAATCACAATTTATAGTGTGTTTTTCCCATGAAAAATGGTGATTTTCCATAGCTATGTTAGTTTACCAGATGGTAGCCTTTGCATTTGTCAATGAAAATCGGTTTGTTGATTTTGATGGATGCCAGCCTTGGAATACTAGCCCTATCAGTGACATGAAAAACTCCGAAACCATCCAATTCATCAATCAGTGAGTTTCCTAATTGAGGTTATATATGTTGCACCGTCCTCCCACGTACCAACAGTTGGCAGTTTTAGTTTTGGTGTTCGGTATTTTGACAGGGGTTAGCAGCAAACTAGGTTTGATCATATACCAGATTTTTTCATAGGACTTGGCACATGTTTTACTTTGGGTTTTGGTTTAGAAAGTAGGCTCTAGGTAAGGACCCTGTTGATGGTTCGATAGGTTCATTTCGACGCCCCTTTTGCAAGTATATAGATGCCCTGCAATGCATTGGTATTACTCAGGGATCGATATCGACACAAACATGATGGGAAGTGCAGGCTCCCAGAGTAAACCTTGCTGAATTGTAGGTTAGCAAGTGTCTCCCCATTTGATGAAATTGTTTATCCAATGTTTATGGAATTTAATTTCAAGGTACCCCCAATGATGGCATCCATATTTCTACAAGATTCCCATACTGTTGGGGGTTCTTTTGGGAGTAGTATGGGAGGCTTATGGTTTGTTGCAATGCTTTGTGTTTGCCGAAGAGTTCATCGGCATGATGCTTGCCTGAGCATGTCAGCAATAAACATCGCCAAACAGGGGGGCTTGCAAACTAGGATGCCCGTATATGCGGAGCCAACCTCCATGCTGCCTGTCCGGAAGTGGCAGATTTGACACCCAAGAGGTTCATTGAACCCATTTTCTGTGACAAGGCGCGCCAGCGATAGCATGCCAGAGCTTGGGTTGTTACGTTAGGATTGGTAATGACTGGTAGGTGCTGGTAGCGTTTCATGTCGTGTTTTGCGCTATGGGGATTCAATGCTGAAAATTAATGGTGAATGATAACCACCCATGATGGGTTAATAAAAGAAACAATTTGCAGAAATGGAGGACGCCAAGTTATCTGGTTATCGTCCAAGTGATTGGTCATTTTCGCTGCGGGGATACTAATGGTGACGATGCGCACTCCAATTTTGAGAAACCTCCATATCATAGGTCACTGTAGGAGGCTTGCCCCAACATAGTCCCGTATCAGCTCTGAATTCATATCATCAAGGGCCAGCGTTTGAGACGCTGAAGATGTTTGTGACAGTTGCAAATACTTTGCTGGTTGTTGGTTTCAAACATTCTTTATTCTTCCATATATTGGGAATAATCATCCCAACTGACTCATATTTTTCAGAGGGGTAGGTCAACCACCAACCAGGTCAGAACCCCTTATCACAGACTGAGAACTGATAGAATGGTGGACCAAGCCGACCACCCATGAATTGTGCTCCTCCCTATGAGCCCAACTCTGACATGTCCGCGGGGCCTATTGTGCTGGCACCGTTGCGGCTTTGCACCGCTGCACGGTTGATGGATTGATGGAGAAAAAATGCATGATGCGCCGTGAAAAAAGTGGGACCATGCTACTGTGACAATATGGATATCCAGTTGCCACGAGGATGGGATATTGCGGCTGGACTCCAGATTACTGTAACGGAATCTCAGGTGAGTCTAGACCAGAAACATTCCAGGTCCCAATTTCTCCCAATTTGGCAAGTTCCATGGAAAAGGCTGGAATATGTTGGAATATAGGGATTTCGTAAGGCATCCATATATCCAACATATCCCTTGAAATCCCTAAAGAAACAGTTCCATGTTTGGAAAGGCCGTTTCTTCATGTTTCTTCACTGACATCAAACCGTGGCCACCAGTTCCATTGAAATGGATTGATTTCAAGGGGCGGGACGAAGCAGCTTCAACAACAACATCATTGATTGGAATGGTGCAATGTGTGGTGCCCCCAGATATGTTTGTCGGTTTACAACCCCTCACTTAACTATAGACTCTCTAGACACTTCATGTCTACTTAGTCTACTTTATGATTTATAACTCTACTTGTTGATTTATATATAACCTAGTTATAAATCAATTTATAGCTAAAATCCCCATGTCATTTTAGATAGATCCTCTATGATTTTACGGCCCTGGTTTGTGTTGAATTCCCAAGGCTGGGCGAAGAACTGGATGCCCCAGCCAAGCAGGCGATACGGGTAGAACAATCCCATTTTATGCATCCCCCACGTCATAGTCGATGGAGATTCCTAGGTCATGGGTGGTTTATGAGTTACCCACATGATTGGATATATGGATATGTTCAACTTATAGGATGGCGCTTCATGGGCATGAAAATATGAAGATGCTGTTTTGGACATTGCTGCTATCACTTCATATAGATATGTGATTTACTTGATATATTGCCATGCAAACAGCTTTAAACAACACCTACAGTACTAGCAAGAATTGGGATCGCGAGCTGCTCATTCATGAGTGTAGTTCTTTACTGATTTGCAATATATGTCTTTCATAATTAATGAATTCCTGCATGTCAGGGGTTAGGCTTTCTCAAGACCTCCGAGGGCTTAGGTTGTTCAGCATCTCATCAACATTAAAGTGCTTAAACGGTGTCATGCGTAGCGATTGCGAGGGACAAGAATTCTTCAAGAAACATTCAAAGGAGCAGCTGGCATGGATTTGCTGGAATGGCCTGAGGAGGTCGACGTGAAGCTCTCCTCATGGATTTGGCCACAGCTGGCTTTGAGCAGATATTTGAAACCGGAGATCTTGACAGGCGCACACTGTGGAGGACGTCTTCCTATATGGGATGCAATGGAGGTCGTCTAGGAGAAGGTCATGCCAGCAGGATTTGAATCGCAGAGTGTCATCTGTGCGTGTCTTTTGTGCACCACCTTGAACGGAAAGGGAGCAGGACCATACAAACTACAAACTCCACGCCGTGGAGAGTCCGGGAGCCCAGAAGATCTTAATTCTGCCCTCAGCTAAGTCTCTATGTAATGTTGGCAAAGACTGCCCATGCCTTGTTGGTCAAGACCGTTTAAGCCTGTTGCTTAAATTCCCTGTGCCTTGCTAGTGCAAGCTCACATGTTTTTTTGATATGTTTTTTTGATAGTCCTTAATGCTTCACACCCATGTTTTGATCAATCCCGATTTATTGAATTCCTTTTATATCCTTTTATATGTTTGCCAAAATCCCAATGTTTCCATGATGGCCAACCTCCTTAATCCACCCATGTTTCTCTTTCAATCATAGCGACCTCTTTGGTTGCCTTCATTGCTAATGGTGGTTAGTTGGTATAGTATCTCATCCCTCCAAAAGTTAGGTCAGTTAGGTTTCAGATTTTGCAACCTTTTATTTTGCATAGATCTAGCATTTTCCACAAGATGGTCTATTTTTTGAGCATCAAATCAGCATAGATCTAGCATTTTCCCCAAGTTTCTCCATGTTTTGCCTTATGAAATCACCACTTTCCCCAGGGCCCACGGCATCCCACGGCACGGCCGGACGCCGTGCCGCCGCCAGCACCGCCAGCAGCGCCAGGTTCGGGAGAAGCAGCGTGCGGTGCTGGAGGCAGCGCTGGCCAAGCAGACGTGGCCTCGATGCAGGGAGTCCATATGGACACCAGATATCAGTAGTGACTAGGAATGATGCTAGGTTGGTTACTTCATTTTTCAACCATCATAGTGGATCAAAAACAGTGGAATTAGGAGAATTATGGGACTAATAGTGGATCTAATAGTGGATACCCTCTGGTAAACGTACAAAAAACTATTGAAAATAGCCATAGAAATAGTTGATTTACCCGTTAATAGCATGGTGATTTTCCATAGTTATGTTAGTTTACCAGAGGGTAGGTTGGTTACTTCATTTTTCATCCATCATTTTTCATTTTAGCATATATTTTTCAAACATCGGTTAAAAGAGTGGAATTATGGGACTAATACCAGTAGTGGATCTAATAGTAATGTTAAAACAGTGGATCTAATAGTAATATTTAAAAAGTGGATCTAATAGTAATATTAATAGTGGATCTAATAGTAATAAAGGGCTATAATATGGATCTAATGATAACGGATTTGATCTATGGGTCTAATAGTAATATGGATCTAATAGTAATGGGTCAGAACAGTGATTCATATTACTAGTTACTAGTGGATCTAATAGTAATAGAGGGGATTGTGGAATTATGGAACACTATAATATGGATCTAATAACAATGGATTTGTGTTAAAATAGATGGGTAGGATCTAAGATTGAATATGGATGTATAGTAGTAGGTAGTTGTATGAGATTGATATGATGGGACAATACTGGAAAGTGCTGGGGATCAATGTTTAATTGATAGTTTGGGGATGTATAGGGATAATTTTGTGACTTAATTCTTCAATAATGGCTATATTAAATCAGCTGATGGTATGGTGGCCCAACCATGCCCAACCTACTGTACCAATATCATTGAAATATGGTTGAAAATGGTTGGCATACAATGTATTAATTAATTTTGTTTCATATGGGAATAAATCGTAACAATCTTCTTACTAGCAATACACTCCCCTATGCAACCCGAGCACCCTCCTGTTTCTGCTTTTAAAGGCCATTGGTTTGCCAAAATGATGTTAGCCATGTTGAGACATCAGAAACGGCACTAAACGGACCTAAGCACCTCAACAGAAAAAGAATAACACGCACCAAGAAACCAACATGTTTTTCCCGTTTTTTGGGCTTACCAAATTGCTTGTTTTCCCCCAATTCTAGCAGCTACATGCCCGCTCAAAGACATGCAAGTCAGTCTTGCGTCGTGTGCTCACAATAGCATCCTGGTCTCATGGTATACAGTCCCGACTCAATCCATAAAATGTCGCACATGCTCCATGGTCGAAGGAAGTTTAGAAGTCAAACTTCCGACAATATGGAGAGATGAAAAGCAGAGCAGGGCAGAGGCAGAGAGAAGAGAAAGATTAGAAGAGAGAAGATCAGAAGAGAAAGAGTCAGAAGGAAGAAGATGCAGATGCGCGAAAAGGTAGGAAAGTCGCGAAACACAATGTTTTTCCAATGATTTGTGGCTCCGGAGGGTCGAAAAGTAGGCTCGCTAAAGCGGCGGGTGCGGAGCCAGCTGGCCAGATGAGAGATGAAAAATTGCACGCCGTTGTGGCGCGAAGCACATTTCCAAGTCAAAATGACAAAACACTAGAGGAGCGGACCACTTTTGGAAGTTGCGATGTCGAAAAAGTGCACGCAGTTGTGGCGCGAAGCACATTTGGAAGTCAAAATGTACAAAGCACACCAATGTCGGACCACTTTTGGAAGTTGAGATGTCGAAAAAGTGCACGCCGTTGTGGCGGGAAGCACATTTCGAAGTCAAAATGTACAAAACACTAGGGGTTCGGACCACTTTTGGAAGTCCAGATGTTGAAAAAGTGCACGCCGTTGTGGCGCGAAGCACATTTTGAAGTCAAAAGTGCTAAAAACTGGCGGTCTCGGACCACTTTTGGAAGTTGAGATGTCGAAAAAGTGCACGCCGTTGTGGCGCGAAGCACATTTCGAAGTCAAAAGTGTAAAAAACTGAGGGTTTGGAGCCTTTTTTGACGTTACGATGTCGAAAAAGTAGACACTGATTAACTTAACTAACCTAACTACCCTAACTTCGACGACAGCAACAACAACAACAACAGCAACAACAACCACAACAACTACAACTACAACAACTACAACAACTACAACAACTACAACAACTACAACAACACAACAACTACAACCACAACAACTACTAGAACTACAACAACTACAACAACTACAACAACTACAACAACTACAACAACTACAACAACTACAACTACACAACAACTACAACTAGAACTACAACAACTACAGCTACAACTACAACTACAACAACAACAACAACTACAACAACTACAACTACAACTACAACAACTACAACTACACTACACAACAACTACAACTACACAACAACTACAACTAGAACTACAACTACAACAACTACAGCTACAACTACAACAACTACTACAACTTCAACTACAACAACTACAACTACAACAACTACAGCTACAACAACTACAACTACAACTACACTACACAACAACTACAACTACAACTACACAACAACTACAACTACAACAACTACTACAACTACAACTACAACTACAACAACTACAACTACACAACAACTACAACTACAACAAACTACAACTTCAACTACAACAACTACAACTACACAACAACTACAACTACAACTACAACTACAACTATATGACTGCAACTACACTACACTAATTACATTACACCACAAGTACAACTCCACTACGCTACAACTACAACTACAGTTGCAGTACATCACACTACATCCAGCAGTTGTGGGTGAGGTGACCACTGCAACCATTGCAACCACTCCAGCAAACACAACTCCAACCACCTTTCGGTCAATCAGTGGCTTCGCTCTGCCATCCGTGAATCACAACAACCAACCTCTCCTATAGGTTTCCTATTCTGAAACTTCCGCCACCGCCTTGTGCGGTACTACTGGTATACAAAAAAGGCCCACAACCCACACTCAACCCAAAGATGTCCAAATGGTACATGCTTACCTTTCCGAGATTGTAGAGAAAAAGAGGATGCCCAAATCCTTGCAGATCGAGCTTCTTTCTTTTTGTCATGCCCGGTTCCACTGACATCTTCGACCTGGGCTGCAAGGACAACTTCGTGGAGGAAGATGCTAAGATTCAGCCGGACAGTCGTCGCATTCTACGCTGGTTTCACTGCCATTGACCGGCCAGTACAAGCCAAGCGCTACAATGGTTTGGTCGCGGCATGTCGTGGCGCTTGGAGATGAAATGGGTGACAAAAAAAAACCAAGCCAAGCAGGAGCGTTACACGATGGCGTGGAACAGTTGGACCTGGCTTCCGAAGGTGGGCTGTCACCCATCACTTCCTGAAGGACATCACAGTGCGTCTCAACTCCGTAAGGTTTGGTGGTGAATACGGTTTGATGGTGGTGAATAACACCTTGCCACGGAATAAGGCCTTCATTGTCGGGAGGGAAGATTTTGATTTCTAGATGGCCCAGGGAATGGGTGAACTGCTTATAATAATCGGTTTAACCAGCACACATTGCGATATAATTGGCATGCTTCAAATTTTACATGATGCTTGATGCTTAGTTGAGTTGGAAAAATGGTGCAACCCTCATGGAATGGTTCAACACTGGTATATAGTTTACATATTCGGTTATCTTACCTGCTGGGTACTGCAATATAGTTGGTATTTTCGAATGATGAATGGATCTTAATGGATTATATAATGATTTCACTTGTGGTTTCCAAGGCTTTCTGTGTTCAATCCTGGGACGATGGCCATGGTTGTTGGAAAGGGTTACAGTAGTAATCAGTCGTGCGGTTGAACATGGATGAGATAAGGGTCAACTGACATTCCAAATCTTAAAACTGCAGTTGACGGGACAAGTTACCGTTGAAACCGGGCTTTTGAGTTACCATCAAAATCCATCAAACATAGTTGGGAACATCAAAGATCATAAATGAACATATCCAAACGAACTAGTTGGTCAACTGGGGTTCCCAGTTCATGGATGATGACGAGCCCCAATATATATATATATACAGGACAGTAAACAGCTTAAACCAATCATCAACCAACTGTCCAGATTGGCCAAGGGCACTATATAGATTTGGTCAAGTTTCGTATCATTTAATAATCATTGCGGTACCGAATTGTGGCATACCCAAGCCATGTGTGTATTTGTTTAAGGCAGATTACGCCACCTGTTGATTTTGGAGCTTAATCAAGAACATACTTCCGCCCCATTTGTCCGCATGGAGGGCGTAGACAAGCACATGAGCAAGTGAAAGTCCAATAAGTATTTCCACAACATAAAGTAGGCCCTGCTGATTTTTAGCGATGTAATATTTCCATAATATCTCCATAAAATAGAGGTGACTCTGCTTCTGTTTTGCGATGTTACAAGGCAACAGGCTGAGGGACCCATCTTTTCTGAGGTCGGGACCGCCTGACGTGAGGCCGTTGATGGCCGTTGGGTACCACAACCCATGGTGAGTTCATTGGGTGCGCAACCATGGTGTCACCTATGTTGGCGAAGATGCTAAGTACCTTACCAAACCCCTGGGTTCAACCGTGGGGTTTGCCACATGGGGTTGGTTCAACTGCAACTTGACCTCCATCGTGTCCATCTTTGGTTTTTTTAGGTAAACATCCATATAGATCAGTGACTATCATAAATAATTTGCAAACATATGAATTTTCCCAATAAATGGACGATAATGGACGCCTTATTTTTGGTTAAATAGGTGATCAATTAACCAATCAAATTTATCATTTTCCCGAGGATTCTTGTCATAGTTTGGTCGAAAATGAACATACACCCGATGAATTCAACACGGAATAACATGAAACCCAAAAATTGCAATAGGAAATTCATTTTCCAGACCGGCTTGCACGGATCATCCTTGCAGATGAAGCAAATCATGATTTTTACTTCTTTCGTTCGAGTAGGCGTGTCTCAAAATAGCATATCCCCCCAAAGGGCCATTGATTATCCAGTGGACTTTTCGGTACCTAGTTTTCCGACAAATCATGTGGTTTGCGGTATACCCTTAATTTCACATAAAATGGGTAACCCACAAGAAATTGGAATTGGAAAAACGCGTCCCGTACAAGTATAGGCAGATCTTGGTTTGCGAGGTCATTGGTTGATATTGTGCTTTTTCAATGGCCCCAATAAAGTGATGAACAAAGATAAACAGAAGGAGAGGATCTACGTAGGTTAGGTTTGATTCATACCTGCCATGAAGAACATGTGTAATTGATGTTTGGTTGGTGGTTTGGAACATTTTTTATTGTTCCATAATATATGGTATAATCCTTCCCATTGACTTTCATATTTTTCGAGATGGTTAAAACCACCAAGCAGATGTTCACTTAATTCCTTTGATCTGGGTAAATTGGATGGGTAGCATCTAAGATACCAGCCAACTCTGGGCACCTATAACAGATTGGACATGTGATGAATGTTCCCTTCAACCAAGCCCTTGAAATCTAACTACCCTCCGGTAATCTAACATAGCTATTGAAAACTGCCATAGAAATAGTTGATTTACCCATTCAAAATGGTGATTTTCCATAGTTATGTATGTTTACCAGAGGGTATGATTCATTTCCCCATGACATTTCCTTTGACCATGTCCCCATTGAAACTCAGCCATGGGAACCAGCCATGGTTTCAGCGCATATTTTGGAGGTTGATCCGCGCCCTTGCGACGGCCGTCCCTTAGTTTCAGAAGATCTTTCTGTGCTAGTTGAATATCATATATGAATATATATATATAGTAAAGCAACCAGCAGATAGAAATATATATATATAGTAGGATTTGCTGGTTACTTACTAAATATATATATATATACATACATAGATAATTATATCTATATATGACATATACACGTGCGTAGGTGTGCTTATCATCTAATTCGCAGTGCAGTTTTATGCATATGATATTTTCGTGAATTCAATTCCATTGATATATCCATTCAATATTTGATTCTATATCAGTGTTTCTACCGATATGGCTTGTTCGCCACTAACGATTTATGTTGATCGAGTCGTGCCCCTTCCTAACCTGAGGAAGGGGATGGCACCGCCAACATGCCAGTGCAGGTGCGCCTGTGTAAAGTAGCAGCAGAATTTGGCAAAGCATCAAACATCACTGGGGCCTCACTGGAATGATGGTTTATATATGGGTATATGGGGAATAATCCCAAAATGTTAAAATTTACACAGAAACATATATTTTTTTGATCAATAAATAGGGCTTCAACCATCAACAGATGGTGTTGTCATCATTTATGGGGATTCAGTTGTGTATTACATGATATTACAAGCAACACAAGGAAATATAATAACGTATGATGATCAAAGGAAGAATAACAAAAGTGACTAGGTCGTCATGTTAGAATGTTGACATACCACCACAATGACAGTTTGAATGCGGAAAAAACATGTGATAACTTATTACAATATCATTGGAGTTTAATCATTAGAAATAGGGACATGACCGACAACAAATTGAAATATAATCATGGAAATGTTGCGGAATGTTGGCCCATCAGCCCAGCAGAGGTTGAAATCCACTGGTGAGACCAAGACCCTAGACCTTGCTGGTGAAAGCAGCTGCGGGAGGAAAGGCCCTCAGGGCTCAGCGGCCACTATTTGTTGAATGTGGAGTGAGTGGAGTGGCAAAGTTCATGGACAGTTGAGGAGTGAGCAGATGGAAGCAGGTTCAACGAGCCTGGATGCGCTTGAGGAGGTGCTGAAGCGTGATATAAGCTGGGATATGATTGCAATATGAGTGTAAAAAAACAGGATGTCTAGCCAAGATCAGGACAGACATGAGTTTATGCACTTTAGGCACTACCGCGGCGGCCACTGATCGTATCATCACTGCCAAACCAGGTACATTACATCAGTATATCTTGCTTTGTTCATAATTAAAGCAACGTACACATGTGGCCATATGCATATGTGTGTAGACATGCATTTGGCGTCCAGTTCGACAATGTTTTGGCTACAATCCCTACTATAAATAGAACACACACACACAGTCACACGCACATGTACATATACATATATAATTATGTATATATATATATATGTGTGTGTGTGTTTTGTGCGTATGTATGTATATCATATGCATTACATATTCATTCTACTGTCGTGATCTAATTTCCCCATATTATACCTTCTGGTAATCAAACATGGCACTTGAAAATCTTTGAACTAAATAGGGTTTATAGCTAGGAAAATCAACTATAAAAATCAACTATAAATGATGGATTTTCCAGCAAGCCATATTTGATTACCAGATGGTACATATCGATATTCACAATAATACGTATATTGATTTACATCCCACTATACAATCTCAATAATATACCCGCTGGTAATTTATCACAGCTATGCAAAATAACAATTTTTGGTAGGTAAATCGGTAAATCAGCATTTTTTATCACACACACACACATATATATATAAATGGGCCATGGCTTCCATGGCTGTGTTAAACAACCGTCCATCATTAAATTCTCAAAATTTTCACTATACCACCAGTATACTGTACCATCTGTTTTGTGTAAGTTTCCACTTTTGTTGGTTAATAATACCCATTGATGGTTAATGGTAGCCATGAAAACCGTTGATTATGGGAATTATGAACCATGTTGTGATAATCCCCATTGCATTATGGCATACCCATTGTTAGAATAGGTGTGAAGAATCTCCGCAGTATGGTTAAGAACCATTGATTATACCATCTGGTTATTTAACATAGCCATGGAAAATCACCATTTTTCATAGGTAAACCATCTTTTTCTATGAGCCATCTATACCATGGCAAACTGTTGAATAACCAGATGGTATGTATATATATATATTTACATTTTTATAGATGGGCCAAGGCTTCCATGGCTGGGTTAAACAACCAGATGCAATATGGTTAAGAACCATTGACTAACTATAATTCCCATTGATGACGGGGATAAAACCGTTGAAGCGTTGCCCCGGCACAGGAGCTCCTGAGTTGTCGTCGCCAGCGCTTGTTGCAGTGCAGCCATGCTGAGGTTGCTGAAGAGTTGGTGATGCTCGGCGAGTGGCGAGTGGTATCCACATGAAATGACGAATATCATGGTGTTTTAAGGGCATTTAGTGGGGTTTAATGGGATTTAGTGGGGTTTAATCGGATTTAGTGGGGTTTAATGGGATTTAGTGGGGTTTAATGGGATTTAGTGGGCTTTAAAGGCATTTCGTGAAGTTTTCCATGGGATTTCATGGGTTCTAAGATTGATATAGCTAACACCTGCGTCATGGTAGTTGGATACCCAGATTGGGATGGTCATCAGATCGCCGGTTTGTATACAGTATACAGTAGCTACGCATCCTAAAAATACCTGGGGATCTTGGGGTATCATCATTTCTATCACCATTTTCACTATTGATAGCTGACAATTGGGAGGGCATACCAGATTTTCAAACACAGCATCATAAACGTGGGGATAACAAAGGGACACTGCAAGGGATAGAACGAACATGAACTAAGAATGGGATGAACACATGTATGACGGTGATTTCGCCAACGGGACATCATGTGACCATAGGAAAACATCACTGGGATACACAACGCAGGTGGGGGATATGAAATGAGATATGAAACATGGGGTCTACAATGACAAGAGCTTTGGCAAACACTAATTGAGTATCTACCTATCTTTGCGTATGCATGTCTTTGTCCATTAGTCTAAGTGTCCACATGTGAGACTTTCCAGGTATTTACTCTAGGTGCAGACTAGTTGCACTTGAAGGTTGTTTTTCAACCAAAGACTTCAAGGGAGGACAATTTTCAAACAGCATCAAAGAATGCCATCATGTTCAAACAACATTTTTTTTGTGCCTTCTGACCACTGAGGTGGGGGTTCTTGGAGGTATGCACCTTGGGTGGGGCTGGCCACAAGGACAGCTGGGTTTGTCTCAACATGGGTGATACACCCCATTGAGAGAAGGGCAGCCCGTCAGTTCTTCAACGTTTTGGGTGAGAGTTGGTGAGAGCATTTTGGTTGGGTGAGATCCGTTGATTTTTGTCGCCACCCCATTCCATGTGTTTTTGTTTGTCAGTGATGAAATTCAATATGTGGAGTTGTGCAGACCAGGATGTTGTTGCTTGAAACCACGCCCTTCAGTGGTTAATTATGGTTAATTTATCTGGGATGGGTGAAATCCAATTTTTGTTGCTGAAATGCGCGATGCTTATTGATGAAAGTTCATGATTTTCTGATGTATTCCAAATTTGGTAAAATTTCAAGTGAATTTCCCGATTGCTTTCTGGGTACTGCACAAGATGTTTTATTTTTCGAATGCAATTTTCGTATGACAAAGGGACTGCCATTAGCTTCACATTTTTTTGGTGCGACAGAGTCCCTTTAAAACGATCCATGATTTTGATGATCAAAACCATATGGTTTCCATGTTTCAATTCTCCTCAATTCTCCACGTATGTTCATTTCCTTACAAATTCTGGTTGGTGGTTTGGAACATGAATTTTATTGTCCAAATATATTGGGAATTTCATCATCCCAACTGACTAACTCATATTTTTCAGAGGGGTAGGTCAACCACCAACCAGTATTGGTTTGTGAAAATCTTTTTTTTTGCTGTTGAAATCCCCCCCATTTTTTCGGAGATCGAGCTCGGCAGATCACGTCAGGATGGGTCCTTGCTGGAGGGCGCGCCGCTGCTGAAAGGTGTTCCAGCTCCGGAGTCGGAGCCAGCGCCAATCGAGAGCTTGAGGCCGTACTGGCGATGATAAGGATGGTTTCCCCACAGAATGAGATGTTTTGTGGGGTGTGTTCGCTCCCAGGGAAACAACCAGTTGTTTCTAGTTGCATGAGTTGAGGGTGTTCAGGCCCAAAAGAATGGGTAGGAAGCCAGCAAAAGATAGGGTAGGATGGATGTTTGACATAATTGGTTCGTGGGTTTATGTTATTTGAGTTGTAATTTGTTTGGGTGATGAGCTCGCTTGGTTTTCGATGTGTTGGAGAACGGGAAGTGTCATGATCCGACGTGAAGTATTTCAAAGATACAAGCATGGGGACGTTGTTCAGCCAAAAATTGATGAGACAACTACCAATATGGGAGCGCAAAAGCCTCTGCAACTTTGATTTCATGGGGCTTAGTTAAACCTTGCGACCAGAAAAATCAGAGTCTGGTGACCGGTGGAGTCATTTCAAGCATCATGATGGGAAGCTGCGGAGCACTTCAGGGGACCCTCTTGACCAACCAGCACCAGGGAGGTCAGCAATCTGTGCAATCACCGACGCCCCCTGGGGTTCCGAACACGCCCCTTCCCGGAAATTGTCATGACTTTGGCATCAGTTTGATGTCAATCTGATTCAACCGTTGCAAATCGGATGTCAAGGCCTAAAGGTGGTACCTCGTTAGCCCCGCTATTGCAGCAGCTGCGCAGCTGCTACGAGGTGAGAGAATTGGAGACTGAAAGGCCAAACATCCCCATACATCCCCATGTCTGAGGCCGTCCCCATTTCGCCCGGCGAGCCCAAGGAAGTGACATCCTCAAGAACCCAGCCGAAGCCAAACGTCACTTTTTGGTTCCCTGATAATGCTATGGTCACAATCTCATCCGTTTGAATGGGTGGAAGTAGGGAAAATCTGCCAGGTCTACCCTGATATGTGGGTGAAATTATGGCTTGAACGTCTTTGAACCATAAAACCAATCCATTGAACATCATATGTTTATTGGTTAAACATGGTTAAACAACAATTTTTGGTGGTTAAGTCCCTACCTAAAGATTGATTAATCCCAACCATTGACCCCATCCCCATCGTGCACAGGCGAGCCGTGACCGAAACCTTAGCCTTCTTGGCTGTGCGGAAGGCCAGGTCTGAGGGATGTGAAGTGTGAACTTGCTGGGTGACGGGCGAATTTTTGGTGGGAGAATGGTGATTTCACCATATTTCACCAATATTCTGATTATAAGGACCTCAATGCGACCGAAGCCTGGGATCATGGTTAATAAGGGGAATCATTCCTGAAAATGGCCTTATTTCAGGTGTGCATGCACATGTTGATAGACCCAATACTTTCATATGCAACAAGCTCAGTATAACTCCTTGTGACCACCAGTCTTGGGAAGGTTCAGTAAGTGTTGTTTTTGCCTTGAAACCTGGCAGGAACCAGTCGTGGAAGGCGCAAGCATCTCCAAACATACGCAAACAGCTGTTGGCTCTCATCCTACACTCACAGAGTCCCAGTTCGAATGATGAAAAAACAGTTCACCATTATACCCTGGCAACTTATACGGTTATAAACTTGCCACACCATTTAGCGGCGTTTGATGTTACGCATAGTTGACAATCACAGATTGTTTTTGGTTCCATCATTCAGAAAACACATGTCATCAAATTGGTGTTGATCGATTTATACCCGTGCTTGATATCATGATAAAACAAATCTATTTACCTATGAGGTCACATAATATATCATAATATACATGCTCCACCGCGGTGCGAAGACGCCTCTGTTTGCAGCTAGCAAAACTTTACATGAATATGATGAATATAGGCATATATTAAAATATGCAATTGCATATGTATATATATATATATTTATTTAATGATAATAATAACAGTAATAATAATAACAATAATAATTAATAATAATTATTATATATATATATGCACATATTTTATTTTCCGTATTCCATTGGTATCTATCTATCCTATGACCAACGCTGAGGTGGCCGCGGGTCACGACGGTCAAGCCGTCGCGGCACTGGAACGCGCGGAGCTGGCGTGCATTTCCAGCCGCCTGGCCGGTGATCGCGGAGTTCTAAGGAATTTGTCTGGATGTTTAATGGATATTTTTGTTTTTGTTTTTGTTTCTTTCAAATGTTTCTATTGTTTTTTTTATTGATTGTTTGTTGTTATTTTTGATTTTTATGGATTTGTTAATGGTAATGTTTGATGTTTTGTCTGGATTTTTAATGGAAGTGGCTGATGATTTTTGTATGGCGATTTGCGTACTGCAATATCATGTGGGTAAAACAATAACAAACCACCCGTTCAGGAAGAGTTTATACCACCTATTTTTGGTGATTGGGCGGATGGATTATTATTGCTTTACCCACATTATAGATGATTCTCCTGGTATGTGGATTGTACTGCAATGTAATATTTTTTTATTGTTTCTGATATTTGTTAATTTAGATTTAGGAGACTTGGTCAGGTACTTGGTATTTTTGCGGGCAGACCCCCCTAAACGAAACTTGGCTTGTTGCTGGCCCGCATGGAGGTATTTGTTTTTGTAGTTGTAGGAAGGAATTGCTTGACGGGATGCGAAGTATTTGCTTTAGGTTGCTAAACAAATTTCAAATTGTGTACATTCTTTTTTGTAGGAAAGTGTAACATGAATGATGTCAATGGTAGGTTGGTGAAGGGGAACCAATAGAGAAATATGATATCCTTACACTTTGCTATGTGTGTGTGAGGTATCTCAGCTGGTATCACAGTTCCCAGGTACTAAATTGCAAGTAGCAATCAGGTGAGACAGACCACTATATAGGCGACTGGAGATAGATAGATAGATGGATGGATAGATAGATAGATAGATAATATAGATAGATAGATAGATAGATTAGATTAGATAAGATAAGATAAGATAGATAATATAGATAAGACTGATTAGATAGATTAGATAGATTAGATAGATTAGGTAGGTTAGATAGATTAGGTAGATTAGATAGATTAGGTAGATTAGGTAGATTAGGTAGTTTAGATAGATTAGATAGATTAGACAGATTAGACAGATTAGACAGATTAGACAGATTAGATTGATTAGATAGATTAGATAGATTAGATAGATTAGGTAGATTAGGTAGATTAGGTAGATTAGGTAGGTTAGGTAGATTAGGTAGATTAGGTAGATTAGGTAGATTAGATAGAGTAGATAGAGTAGATAGATTAGATAGATTAGATAGACTAGATAGACTAGATAGAGTAGATAGACTAGATAGACTAGATAGACTAGATAGATAGATAGATAGATAGACAGACAGATAGATAGATAGATAGATAGGTAGATAGATAGATAGATAGAAAGATAGATAGATAAGATGGATAAGATGGATAAGATAGATAGATAGATAGATAGATAGGTAGATAGGTAGATAGATAGACAGATAGACAGATAGATAGATAGATAGGTAGATAAGATAGGTAGATAAGATAGGTAGATAGATAGATTGTTAGATTGTTAGATAGACAGATAGATAGATAGATAGATAGAAAGATAGATAGATAAGATGGATAAGTAAGATAGATAGATAGATACATAGATAGATAGATAGATAGATAGATACATAGATACATAGATATATAGATCGATAGATCGATAGGTAGATAGATAGATAGATAGATTAGATAGATTAGATCGATTAGATCGATTAGATAGATTCGATAGATTAGATAGATAGATAGATAAATAGGTGGATGGATAGATAGATAAGATAAGATTAGATTAGATTAGACTAGACTTGACTTGACTGGATTAGATTAGATTAGACTTGACTAGATTAGATTAGATAGATAGATAGATTAGATAGATTGGATGGATTGGATGGATTGGATGGATAGATTAGATAGATTAGATAGATTAGATAGATTAGATAGATTAGATAGATTAGATAGATTAGATAAGATAAGATAAGATAAGATAAAATAAGATAAGATTAGATAGATTAGATTAGACTTGACTGGATTAGATTAGATTAGACTTGACTAGATTAGATTAGATAGATAGATTGGATGGATTGGATGGATTGGATGGATTGGATGGATTGGATGGATTGGATGCAGAGATAGAGAGATGGATAGATGGATAGATGGAGAGATAGAGAGATAGAGAGATAGAGAGCTAGAGAGATAGCGAGATAGCGAGATAGCGAGATAGAGAGATAGAGAGATAGAGAGATAGAGAGAGAGAGAGAGATAGAGAGAGAGAGAGAGATAGAGAGAGAGAGAGAGTGAGAGAGATAGAGAGATAGAGATAGATATAAATATATATATATGCACACAATGTATGTGTTCACCATTTTGGGGGTAGAATCATCACCCAGTTGGCCTTTGTCACGCCTTGAAACCAACACTAACCATCGAACCATCATCCCACTATATCCAACTTTCGTATATCTGGATAAGTCACGTTACTAGAAATGATGATTAGTAAATGTTAGCCCCCCAAAGGCCTGTTTTGAGGCTGGTGAACTATTATGTGTTCTGCACCCATACCATATATGTATATTATATATATATATTTATGTATGTATGTGTATGTATGCGTATGTGTGTGTGTACACTGCTAATAACATGCAGTCTAAATATTGATTTGGCAGGGGAGTGCGGCATGATTGTGGGACCGCACTCAACGAAGCTACCACAATCATGGGATACTGGGTCTGATCAACCCAGCGTACCTGCATCAGAGGATAGCAACCGGCTAAGCTGAGAACCGGAAACTAAGTAACTTTGATATAGCATCCGGCTAAGTTGAGAATCGGAATTCATTTTTCACATTTCATAATTCATGCCTCATGTATCAGGATCCGTTTCAGGCCCTCTATTCAGGAATTGGTGGTGCTCTTCACCTCACTACGATCGAATCTATATATCCCACAGTGTGTTTTGGGTACTTTACCTCACTTGGTAGTACCGTCTGTCCGTTTCGACGGATATGAAAGTTATGACCGGGCATTTTCCCGGCTGCAGAGTGGGATGTCGCCAACATCCTGAAGTCCCCTTTGCATATTGCATGCAAACAAAGAAGTAAATGTCAGAGCCGACATTGAAGTTCGTCCAACACAATTTGGAAGCCATAAGGCGAAGTTTAGCCCAATTGGCGAAGTACCCACAAGGGAGAAGTTGTCACATGACGAAGTACTCTGAATGCGCACTTCTACCAGTACATGTGGTTGGAGTCTCAGTAGCATTTTCACCTCACTCGTCATCGTCATCAGGTTCTTTTTAGGCTATGTATTCATTCTTTTCGGCAGGCTCCTTAGGTTTGTTTTTTCCAGGTATTGAACATGTTTAACGTTTTGTTTCTCACTTCACTCGTCATCGTCATCAGGTTCTTTTGAGGCCATGTATTCATTCTCTTAGGCAGGCTCCTTAGGTCAGATTTACTAGGTATAGAACATGGTTCAACGTTTTAATTCTCACATCACTCATCATCGTCATCAGGTTCTGTTGAGGCTATGTATTCACTCTCTTAGGCAGGCTCCTTAGGTTTCTGGAAACCATGGAGATGTGGTTTGATTTGACAGATCAAATGACAGTCATGGGTGTCACTTGAACCAAAGAAAACCACATGTTAAGTTCATTCCCCAGTGAGCAGACCCGAATATCTTCCCTGGAGAGGCATTTGAGGAAACTGGCCGATTCAGTTGGAAAATTCTGTTGTTGCAACCCTGCCCTTGTTGCGTTGAAAGTAATTTTTGCTTTTCACATCACTCGTCATCGTCATCAGGTTCTTTTAGGCCAGGTATTCATTCTCTTAGGCAGGCTCTTTAGGTCAGTTTTCTTAGGTAAAAACTATAGGCAGTTTGCGGTTTTGCCCCATTTACTGATCTGCCTCTCATATTGAGAGGCCATGTGTGTGTGTACACTGCTAATAACATGCAGTCTAAATATTGATTTGGCAGGGGAGTGCGGCATGATTGTGGGACCGCACTCAACGAAGCTACCACAATCATGGGATACTGGGTCTGATCAACCCAGCGTACCTGCATCAGAGGATAGCAACCGGCTAAGCTGAGAACCGGAAACTAAGTAACTTTGATATAGCATCCGGCTAAGTTGAGAATCGGAATTCATTTTTCACATTTCATAATTCATGCCTCATGTATCAGGATCCGTTTCAGGCCCTCTATTCAGGAATTGGTGGTGCTCTTCACCCCACTACGATCGAATCTATATATCCCACAGTGTGTGTGACGGGGTGCGTTGTTTTGTTGGTGTGACATCTCCATGTTTTCTTTTCAATGCGAAGCCACCTACCCTGGGATCCCAATGGACATCTCCAAGGTCTGTCCATGGCAGAAGCGGCTTCTGGGAGGAGTGGCAAGGTGTCGAGGGTGAACCAATGGGGAACCCATGGGGAACCAAATAGCTAGACATGGAAGATATCAACTCCAGATCCACAATCATAGGATAGATGGTAATAGTCAATTCAGGGAACCAATGGGGAACATTTGGATATGGCGGATTGACTATGGCCTATTGACCATTCATGATGAAACTTTCTGTGACCAAGTCGCGACTGTGTAGCTGTTACTGTTGTGGCTGATGTCTGCAAGCACGGCCTCCGTGACTGCCTCCTTCCTTGTCCTCGTTCTAGTCAATAACTGTCAAGGCATGAGGTAAAACAGCCAAGTTTCAGACCTTGCCGGGAAGTATTATTTTCAACTAAGGACATTCTTCCTCCATTGACTATTGATATTGCATTCTTGAATTGGCTCTAGACCCTAGAATCTAGAATGTATTCAAATTCAATTTAAGCCTCTCAGCTCTTCGGATATTTTCAGTTTTGGACAGCCTTACCATGTAGAGCCAGGAACTTTTTTTTCGCAATCAATCTGCAGGATCTGCAGGCACGCGCCCCTCGTGAAGAAATTTCCATGCCCCAATGTCAAGCGTGGAGAATTTCGGGGTGAACGTCATGGAGATATCTCCAGATATTTCCAGATCGCTTCAAACAAGATTCGCATCGCGCCACATGAGCTGCTTCAATAGCTGGAAGATGTGACCTCTTTGAGGTCCATCTTTGGGGTTTTCGATTCATGGGAATGATGCTTGGGATTGGAGTAAGTAATCCCGATTGCGTAAACTATGAGATTTTTTCACAACGACTAGATGGCATTTCTGGGACAACTTTGGCTGAATAGGTTTATATAAATATGTTTTAAATAGTTTGCCATATTTGGGATTATGTCCTACTTCCTACCAATCCAAACAAGACGGAGGGAAATTCAGCTTGGCGATGCAAGTTGGTAGATTGCACCCGAACCTAAACCACCACCACCGCCAACACCAATAACACCAGCAGCAGCAGCAACAACACGATTACAGTAATGCTTAGTTTTCAGATTGGACTGTGCCTAACAAATGCTTGTTGGTGTGGCGGCAGAAACTATAACAAATTTGGTTTAATTTGATTAGTCGGATTTCACCGTCCCATCAGTGGTTTAAGTTGGGATTCCCTATTTGGGGGATAGAACCCCCTTTTTCTCACTGCCCCTCCATCTCATTATGGGTAAATGATAGCCACATTAGGCGGAGGAATTGGACAAATATTACGTGCTGTTTTTGTATCTTAACGGCTTAGTAATAACTTAGTAAAGCCTTCTCTGGTTGGGGAAACCTGGTGGAAGGTGACCCAACCAGCATAGCAACCCCCAAACAGGTACTTGTGGAAACTTAAAATCCAGATAAAATAATGATATGAAGTTAACATGTTCTATTTCTGCTGTGGGTGTTAGTGAATATATTTTCTCAGGTGTTTACTGGGTTCCTGGACCGCTCGGTTGTGCCCTCTCACCAGAAAACACCGACGGTCGATGTTTGGTTGCCCGAAAATATTGAGGCCAAAAATGGAACAATAATTTGGGCAAACGTTGGATGGGTATGGATGGGTAGTTGATGTAGTATTCAATATTCCTCGATGTTGCTTCTTGAAATGGGAACACATACTGATCAACCACAAAAAAACAGAGTTTTTAGCAATTGTCTCTAAGATTGGCCATGGTTCACCTCAAAAATCTACAGTTTGAAATCCTTTCCCACCGCGTTTTTTTTCAGAAAATGTCGCCTGCCAGAGGCACTGGAGCTGGTGCGTGGCCTAGCCACCTGGAACATCTTCGGCCAAGGCAGAATTTTCAGCCAAAATTGTGAATTTACCATGGATTTACCATGGATTTACCCAGAAATGTAGATCATTTTCCAAGGGAAACCTTGGGTTTTCCACATTTTTTGGGTATGTTTACCCCCAGGGATCCCAGGGGTAACCAACAATGATCAAAAATGGGTGATATGAGTGATATAGCTGAGATAAGCAGAGATATAATGGATACATAAAGACAATTTGTTTGATACTTCTGGTGGGTTTTCTGACTGGTTGGTTCTTTCCGAAGATTCTTATTTGAGGGTTCTGAGTTCTGAGTATGTGTGTTCCTTGTTTCTTTCAAATTAATCAATGTTGTGTGTTAGAAAAAATGGGAGATTGGGTTTGACTAAGCAAAATGCAGAATCCAGGTAACATGGACTGGGAATGTGTTGGTTTCATGACCTACGTGACGATGAGCAGTTGCCACCAGGATTGGGGGCCTGGAAGGTGCGAAGCTGGTGCCATTTGAACTAATACATTGCCATGTCCACGGCTGAGATCGCTCAAAAATGTTGAGGGCACCTCGCCCTAAAATATAGGTATCCCTGGGATAGTTGGGGACAGTTTTGTTTCCAAACATTTTGATTATACATAATATATATATATATACATATGTGGATACGTGAGGATATGTTAACCTAACCGACCTAACCAGCTAGCCATAGTTTGCTGATCCTCATGATTCGCTACAGCCCTGGTATCCCCATATCTTGAGTGGTTAGATGCCAAGGTCTAAAAACAAACGCCATTCAAAGCAGCCTTTGATGGTTATGAAATAGTGGCTTTTCTGAAGCCATTTGGGGAATACTCCACCATCAAGAAGTCGATAAACCCACCATGTGGGAAATCGATTTTGATATGTTTTCATTCATTGGTCCCTTAAGTGCATCCAAGTAATGTGGTAAACTCAATCATAAACATTTCTAGTATTATCCATTTATCACTATCACCATTATAGTGATTCTGGATGATTCTGGTACCCGTTATAGTGATATAGATGGATATAATCTTACCTTGGTACCTCAATCACTATTGTTACTGCCCATGTGGCCATCCATTTCTAGTGATTCGATTGGGATAAGATTTGCCGTGCACGAAGGCGATCCGACCTTTTTTGCCTCGGTCTGGAAAGCGTTTCTGGGACGCATGTTTTGGGACCATTTTGCGAGCAGAAAACGCAGGAACATGTTGACGATTTTTTCAGATGCGCATACATATGCTATATTCTAATGTTATAAAGAAATGTTCTTCAATAGTCTAAGCTGGCTAGGAAATCGTAAAAGCAACACCATTTCGAAAATAAACAACATCAATATATCAATGGAGAGGGAAAATCAGGGAACATCAATTGCCAGGCTCAAGTAGAAGAACTGGGAGATGACTGGTTGGTGGTTTGAAATATAGTTTGGTGTCCATTCCTTAAAAATGGAATCATGGTGCCTATTGATTTTCATAGTTTCAGTGGGGTGACACCCACCAACCAGGCGAAGAATTGCAGCCAACTGGGCAACCAACAGAGAGATCAGATAATCAACAAACCGGGGACCCTGGACAGAACATATCCAGGGTGTCCACCAATGACATCATTTTGTGCACTCGTATTCCGGCGGTGGTGGCTCAACCTCGCAATAGGAAATACCAAAATACCAAATGTTGATTGGCACATGAATCCAAAAACAGTGGATACCAAGGGTTACCTAGTTTACAACTTAGTTGTAAACTAACTTCGTTTACGAACTGGGGCACCGGGAGTTTTGTAACCCAGACATTGGGACCCCAGACATCTCACCAGCCAGTCCTAGGGACAGCGGCGGCTCACCATGTCTCACATTCCAGCTGAGGGTCATTCCTGTTGAGGCTGCTTGTGATGTCATGTATCATGCCCACTTGTATGTACTATAAATATAAATATATATTATATGATCATATGGATATATATATATATAAAACACCCATTGTTATAAATCCAATCATGGATCATATATACTGCAACTTATACCCTCTGGATCCCTCTGGTAAACGTTTACATAACTATGGAAATCACCATTTTTTAATGGGAAAATCCGCTATTTATATGGCCATGTTCAATAGCTTTTTGTATGTTTACCAGAGGGCAACCATCATTATTAACCATTATTAACCATTATTAACCATTATTAACCATTAACCATCATTAAACACTATTAAACACTATTAAAAACCATTAACTTATAAGATTCTGAACTCCGTGAGATCCGATCCATAGCCAAGACAGCCAAGGCACTGTCGCTTGGGCGCCCGGGGTGCCTTACGCGCGCTGCAGCAGATGGGTTTTGTTCAGATGCAGTGCCCCGCATGCAGTGGCTGGCTGTTTTGTTCTGGGCCTGGGTTTACCCAGCCTGGTTTACCATAGGAAAATTGGCGATTTAATGTTTAACAATAGTGAATAATGGGATGATAATGGGATATACCCAACCTGGTAAACATACAAAAAGTTATTCAAAATTGCTATTTAGTTCGTGGAATTACCCATTCAACATGGTGATTTTCCATAGTTATGCAAACGTTTACCAGAGGGTAGTGAATATCCCAAATATACTACATAGATATGATATAATATGATTAGTAGCACTCACCCCAAATTTGGTTTCTACAGTATTATCTTATTATTGCTTCTATAGCAAAAATACAGTCACTATTGGTAGATATCCTGTTTTGGAAATTTTGAACATCACTTGAAACAGTATCTGTTGGAGAGTATATGCATTTTCGTTGCTTGGTGATGTGAAAAATTAGGACATTTGCAAACCCCTGTCAGGGTCGCAAAATTATCCTCAATTTGGTCATGTCCTGTTGGAAAACCGCTGGTTTATTGGAAAATCATCCCAGACTTTAATTGGCGGTTTGACCACAAAGAAAGAACGGTGGGATTTCACCAACAAACGTGGGCAAAAACCATAGGACAAATGGGGATTTACGTGGCAACTGTTTGGGATTGAGAGAGTTCACCACGAAAGTTGCAACTCATCTGAGTCTGAAATGGGTTAGTTTACCATTCACTTACCAGAGGTACCCCCAAATCATCCAAGTCATTAGACCATGTCCGTCTTGAAACCTATGGTCTTGGGGGTACCCCATGTCAGGGACACCCCGGAATGGGATATCATTCAAAGCAAAATGCCGGATGTAACCAGCAAAAAGTGATGTAGCAACAGAAATAAGAAACCAAGAATATTTTTTACCCAGAACAACAAACAGCAGTGCAAGTAGGGTCTATTCTGCGTGAGTGGTATAGAACCAGCATAGATGAGGGAACTCATGCTCCAAATAATTGAATATTTGCGTTTTTTTGCTGCTGCCTTCACGCCCATTACCCACGGGTGACTGAGCGCCAAACGATGCATCTGACTGTTGGAGTTACACAGAGTGAACCCAGTGAAAGAGATTGGGAGAGATCTTGTGAGAAGAACCCCCTTCCAAAGCGGGTCTGAGGTAATTATTTTTGACCCATGGGGACATGTTCATCATAGAGTCACGTATTTTGTTTATCAAGCACCTATAGTTTTAGTGTTGGCATGTTTTCCACTTTGGTGGTGAATATCCACCAGTTCTGTTGAGAAGTTCAAATTCGCTCGGTGAATGTCCTAGCCTCCATGATTCAGGAAACTCCACTCAATACGCCTGTGACTTTGTCACCTTTTGGAACCCCCAAAAAACAATCAGAACAGTGAAATCATCCTTAATAGTCCCAAAAGTCCATAATCAATAGTGATGTTGATATGGTGATGTTTAATCCATAAATCTAATCCATAATCCATAAAGTCCATAATGAGTCCTACGAAAATTAATGATGTTTATTCACCTTGTTTGATCAGGTTGCCGGAATCCTTGCAGCCGCTGGCGCAAAGCTTGGATGCCCTGGAGGATGAAAAGATGGAGTGGATCGATAGGTGGCATAGTTGTTGTGAAGTGGATCAGATATATTTGGATATTTGTTCATTGCTGTTGGGTTTAGTATTTCTGTTGTGTCTCCTTTGTCCCGCCTCGCCTCTCAGTTGGGCTGTGGTTTGGGAGGGAATATTTCTATGTTCGGAGCCATGGAACTACGAAAACCATAGAAATGTGATGTTGTTTATGGAATACAGTACCCTCTGGTAAACTAACAAAAAGCTATTGAACATGGCCATTGAAATAGTGGGTTTACCCATTAAAAAATGTGATTTTCCATAGCTATGTTAAATTACCAGAGGGTACCTAGCAAAATCTTACCGTATCATGAACCATCCCAAAATGACCTGATTTCAGGCTGGAGAACCCCGGCTCTTCAGCCGTGATTTAGTACTGGATCCATAATTCTATGGGGGGCCCATATAGGGTTACACAATATCCATAGACTTGATGATACTTGATGCCTCCCGGTAGTGAGAAATGTGTGAAAAACAAAAAGGCGTCTTGACGCGGAAATCATGTTGAACAATGGGAAACGAACGAGCAGAATGCAAGTGGAACGACAGAGAGGTGTAAAGATGTGTAAAGATGGTAGCGGCGCAATATGCAGCAACGCAATTGTTATTTTGTTTGTGGTAAGTGAGTTTGATTTGGTTATAGCTATTCATCAAGCGGCCTCGGCTTCAGCCAGGACCACAAGTGAAATATGAAACATATTGACGCCTCCAAAGGTTCCCAAAGCTGGCGCAAAAACGATAAACAAATTGAATGGCTTTATGTACCATATGGCAGTTTCCTACATTGGGGGATCCAAATCATCCTAGATTGTTTATTTTCAATTGGGGAGAGAGAGAGAGAAAAATGGTGTTCCTATTTGAGAAACCATCCATATGCATGTTTGTCCGTGAACTGGTTGGTGGACAAACAATAATTTTGAACCCTATTGTATTTTGGATGATCGTCCCAACTGTTTTATGCATTTTTATGGTGTTGAATCACCAACCAGTCTAGTTTTCGTGCTTGATATCACGCATCATGTCCCATCCTTCCAACGTAGGACCCTTGCGATGCCTTCGAAAAACCTCCCGCCGGACACTTATGTGCTTTGCTGCGCGCTGGCGGTGGTCGTGTTCGAAACTGGTGCGCTGATGATCTTTGGCGATGAATTTACAGTGGATTTGTGAATTTGTGGCCGGTCAAAAGATAAAAGGAGGTGCTGTAAAAAAAATATTTATTGAGCCCTTATGAAATGGACGGACTCAGCATTTTGAAGGGGGTTCATGATAAGCCAAGCCCGGTTTGGGACTTGCATGTTTTTCCGCATTTAAACGATACAAAAGTGGGTCCCCCAACTCTCGTGAGTTTCATTCTGGAGCATGTTAAGAGAGGATTTCATGAAATTTGATGTATTTGCATACCTGGTTCTAAAATGACCTGCAAAAAGACGTGGTTGCTACGTGTTCTTTTTTTGTTTAGATAAGCAACGATCTACATGTGATTTCGATATATATATATATATATATGTAATATGAATATATATATATATACATATTATATATATACAGATATCTATATACACATGCACACATGACTTTGTCACTTGAATCCCTTTTTGCAAAGCTTAGGAACTTCAACGGTCCATGGGCTGCTTGGAAAAAAACAGTTGGTGAAGAGGAGTAATACCAACAAAAATGGAGGTTGAGCGCAGCCTTTGAGAGACATGACTGGCTTGGCTTCCCAGGGCAGTGAATTCGGTCCAGAACTGTCACAGCATAGGAAATTGCAGCAACGGCCAGGGCAGAAGATAAACTCAGCACCTTGATTGATGCCTGCAAATCCAATCCGGTCCTCATACAAGACAGCTTCTTCTTCATGGATATCCCCGCATTCAACAGTTTCAACCATGTTTCTTGGGTAATTGAGTTATATCACTGGAACCCAAACAAGCGCCAGTTATATTTCTGCTTAAGTTCAAGCTTGGAAGATCATTCCACTTAGCAACTGATGAATATTTCTGGATGGAGAAGTCCTCAATTCTGGCTTATCCATATGGTTCTCCCATAATCTCCCATATATAAATGGCTGAACTGACCAGGTTTCTTGCTTTCCCCTTGGCAAACGTCCCTTTTCCAGGTTTGAATCAGCTGGGTGACCCGGAACCACAGATGACCTTTGAGGACCTCTCTGGGTTTTCCATGGTTTTCCCCCATGTTTTCCTTGAAATTTGTGGGGAATCTGGTGGATTTTCACCATGGTTTTCACCACGTTTTACGGGAAAATCCGTGGAAAATCCTCCGCGGACCTCAAGGAGTTGCAGCCCTTCCTGTTGAGTTTCCGCACGGAGGAGGCGCGAAAGGAGTCCGTCCTGAGGTTCTTGGACCTGCTGGGCGTTGCTGGGCGAAGGTGTGTCAAAATGAGGACCAAAATGCCATTTTGGGTGAAAAATGGGGAGAAGAAAGGTAGATTTATGATGATTTATGGTGTTCAACCATTAATAATGGTTCACCGGAGTACTGTGCAACCAGGGTTGATGCTTGTGCAGTTGCTTGGGATGCGCGGGATCCTCCAAGTAGCAATGGCTAAATCAGGCAGTTTTTAAACCAGGGATATTCCCAGCAAATAATGGAGACATGGGATGAATTAAGAAAAAGAAGATGTTTAATCGGGACAAGATTCTGGATTTTCACGGCGAGAATGGATTTTGAAGCAACAACACTAGGCCTTTAACAAGCAATACTCTCTGGTAATTTAACAGTTTGCTATTGAAAATTGCCATTTAGTTCATGAGTTTTCCCATGAATAGCAGATTTTCCATAGTTTCGATTTGACCCAAAAGATGGAGACTACAGTGACTACAGGAGCTTCTGCAAGAGGAAAGACTGGTCATTGTTGTGGCAAGTCGATGTGCGCCTGAAATGACTGTAGGACCTACATGTCCTCTGCATTCGACTCAAGGGATTCAACTTTTGAAAACTAAATCCAATGATTTCCCGGTCAAATATTCAATGGCCATTTCAGGAACCTAAATTGGAGGTACCTACCATAGAAAAAAGGCCTATGTAAGGCTTATGTAAGGGAATATCCCTACAAAATATGGCCTTATATGGTACAGTACCTCCATTTTAGGGTCCTGAAATACCCATTGAAATATGGGAGCTTCCTGTCATCTTTTCCTTAAATCAATCCAACGAATAACCCACTCTTATCCAATGTCATATGAGCTCCTGACATTGTTTTATGCCAACGGCCAATTGACATTTTCTCCCGATACTTTGCAACATGGTTATTGCAATCCCTGCCGGTGGATGTCCATCCCTGGGTATTCATGGTAGATCCTTACAATGCAAGGACTCACAATTCTTGATATGGTCCATATGATGTGAATAAAACCATCTGGCTGTGGATCAAGATTGATCCTATTTTCAGAACAATGAACAGAATGGTGATGAAATACAATGTTCAGAATACATCTAAAATCCGTTTTCAGAATAACTAGCATACATTAATAAATGTAATGGATATGTTTGGAAAACACCCATGAAATACTGCTTGGTGGTTTGGAACATGATTTTTTCCATTCAGTTGGGAATGTCATCATCCCAACTGATTCATATTTTTCAGAGGGGTGGCGAAAAACCACCAACCAGTTGATCAAACATGTTTTTTTCCATAATATATGGGATAATCCTTCCCATTGACTAATATTTTTCAACATGGTTACCCCCTGGTAAATTAACATAGACCCTGAAAATCACGCATTTTTAATGGAAACTAGTCTTCCAACCCCTATCTGACAGGGTCTATGTTAATATACCAGAGGGTAAAACCACCAACCAGAATACCAAAGTTGAGGGGATGACCATCCATCCAAGCTACGCGCTAAGGCTCCAACCCTTTGTCGACACGCCCCGGCTTCGCGATATCGCCAGAGTTTCATGGAGGCCCGGCCGGTACCGGAACGGTATAGGAAGGACGCAGGCTCCTGAGAACATAGAAATCTGTGCGGTATGCATCACAATAGCCTCCGGGAATTTCACAGTTTACGGAAAATCACCATTTGGAATAGGCGAATCAGAAAAAACATCTATAAGTGGTCCAACTTTCTTTATGTTAAATACCCAGAAACAAGATAAACAAGTAGAAGAAGTGAATGACCATATGGCAACAGAATCTTGCAACGGGGTGCCCCAATTACGGCCTGGTGAAAGATCCTGAAAGGTGTCAGCGGTAACTGCAGATTGAAACAAGTTGGAATGTCCACCAAACCACTGTTGTTTTCAGGGAAAAAATCATCCAGTTTCTGAAGTTGTTGGCTAAATCATGTAAAAAATTAGGTTCCCAATCTCGGAGTCAACCACCGATGTTTGCTGTTAACCTGCATTCTCACTGCTTGAACTCCAATTCTTACTGCCTAAAGCTCGATTTTGTGCTTGTTCACCCCCATTTTGTGTAGGTCGAAGCCTTACTCTTGCCAGTGAAAACATGGTGAGACCTCTTCTTCTCGATTCTTTGAACATCATCCGGTTGGTGGCTTGGAACCTGAACTTTAATTTTCCATATATTGGGAATGTCATCATCCCAACTGACTCATATTTTTCAGAGGGGTGGCGAAAAAAAAACCAACCAGTATGTTCCCAAATTCTTGCTGACCCTTGGTCCAGTTACCAGTTCAAACCCACCATTGGTCTATCCGGCCACCCCCTCCGTCGGTCGCCAGGCATTTGCTCCCTTGTCCTTACGCTTCAGTGAAGAGACGCTTGCCTTGGTTTGATCGATTTTACCAAAAAAAACAAGGATTGCTGCCATCCACAATGGTTAATGATGGACAATGATGGACAATGAGATAATGATTGGTTCATAAGGGTGAATGTCAATCTGGTAATGTGGAAAACCATCGCCAATCATAAACCACTAGTTGATTTTAGTCATGAACATATGGGAGATAAGTGGATATAACTGATCAATGATTATTCATGATTAGATGGGTTTTCTTTATCTAATGTGTGGTACACCCAATGCCTTAAACCATTCCCAAAATCACCAATTTGATCGGTGGGATTTGGTAATCCCCAAATGGTAGGTATGTATAGCCTCAAGGGGGAGAAACTAGTCATTTTACCTATATATATATACATATGTATATATATATACATATGTATATCCAATTTGCCCCCCAAACGTGCAGTACCTGGAGTGTGTGCAGCAACCCTGAAACATGCACTATAGCAACCCCAAAATAGATAGAAAAGAGAGAACCCTGGAGATATGATGTGAGCATATGCAAATATCATCTATAGTCCAAACACACTTTTCTATCTCTTTGTGAGTTGCTATATGTCACCCCACATAAACCAAGAAATTGTTTTGAGCAACACTAAGTGAATATGCCAGCAATACCTGGAGATAAATGTGGGATTTTTCACCAGCAATACTTCGAAATCCCAGCAATGAGGTTGATAACATAACTATCAATGGGTAAACCAGGAACACATTTTGTGGCCCATTGGCACCCCATCAATAGTGCTGGTATCAATGGCCATGCAACAGGAACCGATTGATTGGAGGTACCTACCATAGAAAAAAGGCCTATATAAGGCCTATGTAAGGGAATATCCCCATTGAATTTACTAACCCTGAAACCATTCTTAACATTTGGGGGCGTTTAGACTGCTTATTTTTGATGGGCATGTTATCAGCATATTAAACAATGGCTCAATTAACCATAATTAACCAAACGCAACTAACAGTTTACTCTCCAAATTAGTTAAGAGTTAAGAGTAACCATCCAATTAATCATCAAGTTAACCACCGATCATTAGTTCCCAAATTAACACAACTAAACCATCAAACAGACCCAACATCAACCATCAAATTAGTTAAGATGAATCAAAGTTCATCAAGATTTATCAACAACCAACATGTATCAAAATTAAACACGGTCAAAATTTAATTTGAACATTCTTAAATGATAAGCAAATGAATCAAAACTCAAACATGACCAGATCCTAAATAGAGACATTCCCTGAAGTGAGTTGAGCTGAGTCAGGACACGCATCCCGCCTTACGGGATGCTTCCCGCGTGTTCGCACCGCGAGGTGCACAAAGGGGATGGTTTTTCCTCGGGAAGTGTTCGGATCCAGAGGGATTAGCCTATCCATATGGGATATCAATGGTTAATGATGGTTAATGTACGTGTTAATTATGGAATATCACCAGCTATAATGATGGAATACCAATGGAATATCTATATACCCAACCTGGTTATGACAAAAAGTTTGCCATGGTATAGATGGCCCTAATCGAAATAGATGGTTTACCGTTCTTAAAAATGGGTGGATTTTCCATGGCAAACTGTTAAATTACCGGAGGGTATATATAAATGATTATAAATGTGTTTCCATAAATGTGGGTACCCCAAACATGGATGGTTTACAATGGAAGATCCTATTGAAATGGATGATCTGGGTATTACCAACATTTTAGGAAACCTCCAAAAAAAAAAATATATATATATATACATATCTATAATATATATATATATTTATTTACTGTATATACTGTATGTGCGTGTGTGTTTGCATATGTATATATATACATATATTCATACAGGGATTATCAGGGATGTAGATGCCATAGATGCAGATATTGGAGGCCTACATTCTGAGATGGGTTTGTCCAAAAATGAATCGGATACATCCAAATTTATGGTAATTCTGTTGCCGAGAACGAGGATCAACCATGATATCCGTTGGCGTGCCATTGGTTTCACATTTGCGAGGACAGCGATCAAACCTTCAAACAATTGTGGATGCGGTATATCAATTTAGGGGTTTCCTGAAATGGGGGTACCCCCAGTTCTCATCCATGTTAGTAGGATTTTCCCGTATGAACCATCCATTTTGGGGTACCTCCATTTGCGGAAAACCCCATTTGTACAAGATGATTGGACCAACAATCAGCACAAATTGGATTTGAATGGGAAAGAGTCAGGATTTACTGCAATCAAAATTCGAAGATTTTTAAAGGGGCCCAATGAAAGAATGCCTCAGGGATTTGTTCAGATGACCCGCAGCGGGACTTCCCAAGGATTGGCGACATGGATAACAACAGCAGAACTATGTGTGATGATCTATTCTTTCAAACAAAATTGAGGCTTCTATAGCACAAGAAACGGAGCTTTAAAAAACTGACTGTCACATCCCCACAACAAGAATCTAGAAAAGTACCCTACAAAATGTGGTGGCAAATTGTTGTTCTATCTTCTTTGGGGTGTCACTATACATGTCAACCTGAGGTCGAGGAAGTGCTCCTAGTTCGATATCCAACCTGCGTATTCTTCGATAGTCTAAACCTTGCAAAAGGAATTGCCCCCGGAAATCGTTCTCTCCCGGTTTTAAATGGGGATTCGCAAACGGACCAAGGCTATCTACAAAAAATTTTCCCTTAAACCTTGGATGAAGGCCATGAAGACCCACACCGCGCTGCAGAGCTTAGCGCTGTGGCCGCGAGATGCGCTACTACACGAGGTCGGAGCGGTATCGGGATGATCTTTTTAGGTTGAGAAGTCCCCAAAAAATGAATAGTTGGGAATCCCTCCATTTGGTTTTGGGAATCCCTCCATTTGAATCCATTTGATGATTTTTGAGGATGAGTGGGGATTGTTTTGGGATTTTGGTGATTTTTGGAGGGTGTAAACCTCAGGGTTATTCTGACCTAAGCCTAGCCGATAGAATGTATATATATATATATAGATAGATAGATGAAAGTTATCAGCAACACCAAAAGGCTGAGGTTCAGTTCATACTGCACACTGATTTTCGTTGATCCTTGCTGAGGTTTTGGTGGAATCCTTGCGGAAGTTGTCCTCACACGAAGCCTTCAATGGTCAGGTCCAATGGCATACAGTTTTTCGCCCTGCGCAGGACGTTACGGTCATAATGATGAAAACTATATGGGAAGACGTGGGGTGCCAAATGGCAAGTAAGATGTATGTGGTTTTTGGCTTGACCGAAGTCCTGGGGCTGGCGATGGAGAGAGAAAGATGTCCTTTTTTTCTCCATTCTTCTCCCAAAATTTTGGATGGGACCTTCTCCAGGATTCTTTGCATGTACTGTAGCACACAATCATTAAATCTGGATACAAATGATGTTGCGACCTCACGTCGTGCCGTCACTGGGAATGATGCTTAGGATTCAGGTAACTATTTGCACTATCCCAAAATGGCCAAAGATTTCAGCTGAGTAAATTGCTGTCATTCATCCAAGCACCTTGCTGGTAGCGCGGATGTTTGTGCGCCACTTGTCCTCCCACCAGGGCAACTTGGAAGATGTCCGGGGTTGGGATTATTTCCTTGATTCTGATTGATGGTCTAGGTTGGATGGTTGGAGTGTCTACGTTTGATCATTGAATACCCGTGACTAACCCTCTTTATGACACCCTATTTTTTCATGTTTTTTTCTGATTCAAAGCCTTTAGATTCTGTTGCTGAACCCAATTTTTCGCATATCTTGGCCGATTAAATTCATCTAAGGACCTGTATTTCTATTGTCTGTTCATTTTTTCACTTTACCCTCTAGTAAACTAACATAATTAGCTATTGAAAATGGCCCAGTCGAAATAGTGGATTTACCCATTAAAAATGGTGGATCTTTCGATAGTTTTTTGTATTTTTGCCAGAGGGTACCTTGGTACATCCGTCATCATCCGTCGGCATGTCATTTTTTGAGGCAGCCAAGTTACCGCGCCGCGTGCTGCGCGCTTCAGAGGATCCAAGGTTTCAACACGGGGCGTTCCCGTTCCACCCCCTGGTTCATGATTTGTTGTAGGATTATACTCACGATGGAACTTGATTTACTCACCATAATAAAGGTTAATGATGGTTGATAGTGGGCATAATCATGGGATAGTCATGGTTAATCATGGTTATTAATAGGATAATGTGGATAAAACAATGCCATAAACCACCCATGACTGGGAATGGTAAACATACCACACCTATAAAAATGGTGAAATTGGGGATGGTTTATTATTGCGTTGCCAACATTAAAGAGGTTTGATTAGATTAAATAGGATCTAGTGAGAGTTAGCAATGTTCGAAACCCTGTTAGTTGATGATTTTACGGTACGGGACTATACCAACCAATATATGGGGGAATATCACGGTCCATGAATGGGGATTCCCGTTTTCAACCAACCTCGATTCCCTAAATAGAACCCTCCTTTTAATTGATGGCAAGTGTTCTTACATGAGAATTACAGGAGGAAACTCTATGGGAACAATATCTGTCCGATAACGCACCAGGAAATCCATGTGTTCCAATGAGTTGCTTAGCTATGTACTAACAACCACGATGAATAGCCATTATGCATCATACCATGGGGCCTGAAAAAATTCAGTCGTGGGAAAGTATCAGCACATAAAAGGGTTTGAACCAAACAGAATTATGTCTGTCTTAAATTGTGTTTTGTTTTACCAACAAGGATGGAGACTTCATCAAGCAAAATTCTTCGGAATAAGAAGTTTCTTACAGCTCAATTATGCTCAATGCTGGGATGTCGTAGGTCTGGTTTTCCACAGCTATGTTGAATGCTCCATTTTGCAGGCTCCATGTTTCACAGGACAAAGGACATTGATGAAGATTTACCCTACAAAAATGGAGACATGGAGCAACACAGAAGAGATGAAGAGGATATTGGCAATGAGATAATAGTGATGTCAGCTTTGCTAGTCCCCATTCCTTAGCAGTTTCATCAGCATGCTCCACTCTGATTTCTTTGACTTCAGCCCTAAATGTGAACGACTGGGCCACTGGATCCTCCACAAAAAAAATGAAAACGAGGAATGTCCGTTTAATGCACGATTCTGGTTTGAGTTTGAAAGCAGCCATGTCTAGAGTCTAACTTCAACCCTTAAATTTCAGAGAGTCTCATCAGAACATACCATCTCCCAGCTGAATACCAACATGGATTTCCATGGATGCTATTTGCAAGAGGAAGATGAATATTAGTTTTCAAGGGTGTATCATCATATACTATCATATACTCTCCGGTAAACCAACATAGCGAACTGGAAAATCAACATGCTTTTTTTGGGTGAATCACCCATTTTGCATAGTTTTTTGTATGTTTGCCAGAGAGTAATTGCTTGGAGGTGTAGATATGGGGGTTCTCCTAAAATAGGGGTACCCCCAGTTCTCATCCATCCAGCTATAGGGGTACCTCCATGTCTGGAACTCCCCATATCATATCGATATCATGCTTGACCAGCCGAGCAGTTGCAGGTTGTACTTCATCTACGCCCATGGTCTTTGGCAATCAGGATGGGGCAGTGATAAAGCCGGGAAGCTGTGTGTCAGCACAATTTGTAGTATATATATATAGACCACAGCAGCTTGGGAATTAGTGCAAAATACTATGTTTTCAGTTTAACGCCTTTCAAACCACCCTTGGAAAAACATATAGAATCTTGGAAAACCATAGAATCGTACACAATCGGAGTCTATGATTGGGTCGCATTGGGTCTATCACAACATGTCACAGAAACTATCAGCTCTGGATAGTGGCAGGACCTCGGAGTTGTACAGGCTACCAGCCATATAGCCCTTGGTCGTTTGACCACGAAATCAGCTTCTTGTTGAACATTCAATAGTTACCCTTTGGTAATTTAACATCCCATTGAAAATGGTGATTTTCCATAGTTATGTTACAGTTACGTTAGTTTACCAGAGGGTATGTCATGTTATGTCCATGATACTTGGTGGATCAGCCCACTCAGCAACAGCTTAGTAGTGTTACAACCCAATTTTAAAGTTTTCACCTACAGAACTCCCAAAAAAAAATCACCAGGATTCGGTCCCTTAAAACGGTCGCAGCCTGGGCTCCAGCCCCACCAGCGCAGCCCCTCCATTGCTGCGCTTCTTTGGCCATGCTGAGCATCCTCCGCAAGCGGCGGCCGCGGCTGGAGGGCGACCAATTCATTGGGAGCCTCAGAGTACGGATGCCACTGGAGGACCGGACAGGGGCAAGACATGGCGATTTGGGGATGGCATGGAAGGCGTGGAGGTCGGCCTGGTGTGTTTGATGTTTGAAGATGTTTGAAGTGAATGTCGATTAGTGACATGTAGATAGAGATAGACATAGATTCATAAATAGATATATAGATATAGTTACATTATGTTTAGAGCGGTTTACGTAGATATTGCATTTCAGATATACACATCTTTCGATGTAAATGATCGGCCTGGTGACATGTAGTTTTGAATGGTCAGTGCATAGTGTTGAAATGTTTCGAGGCTATCATAGTTCCTTGGGATGCTCTGAGAATCGCAAGGGATAAAAGCTTTACCATTTGGTAATCTAACAGTTCGCTATGCAAAATGGCCCTGGCAATAATAGGTAAATTATCTAGAGGTCGGTAATTTTCCATAGCACGGTTAGATGTTAGTTTGCTCGTATGTATCTTTTGACACTCACAGTCTTCCTGACTTGCGTGGTTCTTGAGCTGCATGGGTACCCAAATCGCTCAGATCCTCAACTTCACAGTCCAGTCTCATAGTTTACTCTCTGCCGTCCGAGCTGGGAAGCTGTGAAGACTAGGAGGGCGTGAAAGATCTACAAGTTCAAGTGCATTTTGGTCAAAGGGCTCACGGATCATTTTTTTGTGGGGGATTGTGCTGGACTGCTGACACCCTTGGGGATAGGATAAGATCGGCAACCGGATGGCACTGGGGGGCGTTCAAATGTCGCCAGTTGGTGGGGGTATGGATCTGAAAAGGACAGGAGCCCGGTACCGCCGGTATCCCGTGGTATCCCTACATCCTCAGGTGTGTTTTCCGTTTTCGGACACAGCCATATCATGATTATCATGGATTGATGGTGATGAACAGACTGTGAAACCATGATGAATGGTGAATGGTGACATATCAATCCATAATGATGGTGATGGATTGATGGTGAATTATCCAACGGTGAAATTCTTTCCGTGGAATCCAAACATGGACACTTCCAACGACAAGTTAGCCGAACGACGCCAAACCCATAAGGTGGTACACCCAACAAGCTTTCTTGTGGCTTATCATTCTCCACAGTTGCAAATGTTTAACACACTATTTTAGTTGGGATAATGGGGTAAATCTCCATTCCCAGACAAACCCAAGTCATAGCGTTGCCAATTCATAGGGTTGGTATTTATATGTTGTCCCACGTCCCCAGGCACTATCCAGGCAACAAGGACGGAGAGCTGCTGACAAACGACAGGCCGGTGGTCCTGGGCAAGAGGATGGAAAAAACCACCCATTTCTGCAGATGTTTGGGGTGGTTTGATGTTGGGAGGCTTCATTATTGGGACCACAAGTTTACCACGCTGTTTTTTTGGAACAATGGCCATTTATGGATGATTTACCTATTTTTCAGAGATTTTAAGATGGTGATTTTCCATAGTTACTGTGTGTTATAACTTACCGGAGGAACATCTTTGTGACAGGCAAAACACCACCAGCTCCTGTGGGCGTCAAAGATGATTTTGTTTAACCTCTAAACATAGAAAAAGCGAACTGGAAAATTACCATCTGGTTATTTAACATAGCTATTGAAAATGGCTTTTTTTTAATGGGAAAACTCACTATAAATGAGCCATTTTCCATGGCTATGTTGAATTACCAGAGGGTAACTCTTTTAAGAGGTAAATCAACTATTTCCATGTGCCATTTTTTGATAGCTATGTTAAATATTGTTAAATTACCAGAGGGTAACTCCGACATCCAAATAAAAAAATGTTTCAACCTTGAAGGCTTCGAAGGTGGCTCCGGAAAAGACTCATATTCCACGGTTCCACCTTAAATTTTGTGTCCATATTTTGTGCTGCCGTGTTTTCTCCCCTTTGCCACTAGATGGCCATTGTGGAGTTCATGTCGGAGTTGAGAGATCATATGTTTTGACTTCTATATATTATTTTGATAATATGAATGAAATGACGATGTTAGATATGATCACTTCTGATCACTTCCTATCATGGATCACTCTTGATTTACATCATTCTTGGTTCCATGATTTCATTTCCGTGCGCCATCCATGCCATGAACGGACGCGTTTGCGCCACGAGGTTTCCGCTGATGCGCCCGGAAGTCTTGCAAGCCATCGGCGACGCCAAGGGCATCCCAGCTTCGCTACTGGGATGAGCTATATGAATGGCATGGGCAGAGAAAGCTAGTTGAACATGGATATACACCAGCGAAAATTGAGGATGAAACTAGTAACTATAAATGGTTTCACGGGTTTCTCCAATGTTATTTTTCAAGTGCTACATAGCCTGTTAATTACAATCAACTGGTGGCTTATCTAACCTGGCTTGACATGATTTTCTGGACACTACAAAGCCACCGATAATTGAGATTCGGGATTCCCCGGGGAAGCTTATCTAGTTGGTGGTTTCAGACATTGGCTATTTTCCATTTCATATTTGGGATGTCATCCTTCCCAGTGACGAACTCCAACATTTTTCAAGATGGGCACATTGCACCACCAACCAGTTATAAGTATCTATTCCAACGTTAGCATCTATTCCAACGTTAGCATAAAAATCAGTCAACTGGTCCCACCAAATGATGAAGGGACTGCTGGGGATGGTGGTGTAACTTGTGTAACTTGTGTAACTTGAAGCTGTGTGATAGCCATTCCAACTCCCCGATGCGGTGTCCAAACATAGTACCCCTAAAACCAGTAGTTAATCATAGGCAGAGATTTTCACCATTACCATTGCCATGAAATTGATGGTAAATGCCCAGGCACACGCGTTTTTTGTCACGAAAGCTAGCGTCAGCTAGCTGGAGTCTTCTTGCTTTAGCAAGTATTCCGGGGGCTGCTCAAGGACATCACGTGATTTTTCACGCGAAAGGCCCCCCCCAACCCCACCACCATCACCATCATCAGCATCATCGTCATCACCGTCATCATCGTCATCGGTTTCGTCATCGTCATCGTCATTGGCATCGTTCTCGACATCGGGAACAACATCATCATCATCATCATCATGAGCATCATCATCATCATCACCACCATCATCATCATCATCATCTCCTCATCCTTATCATCCTCCTCATCATCATCCCGGTCGTCTGCCACATCCGCTTCATCATCATCATCATCAGCATCATCATCATCATCATCATCATCGTCATCATTATTTTCATCATCATCATCATCAACATCATCATCACCATCGATGGAGAGTTCACTACTTTCATATGCTTTACTCAGTCTAAGATTTCGATTCTTTTGATTTGCAACGGTAAACCTGAAAGTTCAAATCCGTTTTCAGACGCAAGTCTAAGGAGTCCTTTGGAAATTGTTTCATGGTGGAGGTCGGGTGGCTTAACTTGCCCGACCGAAAAAATAATCTTCAAATCATTGTCGTCTTTTCAAGCCTTTTTCTTTTCTATCATTTTGTGCTCCATTTGCTTAGTAAACAAAGTGCATTCAAGTACCTGGGCCAATGTCAGAATCAACGCGGCTTTGCGCTCTTACCTAGGCGTGCCTCGCCATGGAAAACGCACAGCGTGAAATCTCGCCATGACACCAAAGGGTTTGAAGCGGAAACGCCACCGACATTTCCCTGCTGACACTGAAGATACGTCTTCCCTTCCTTCTTTCTCCTACCCCGCTAGCTTTCGTCATCCACCCCCGGCCTCAAGTTATAGTGGTTCGTTCCAGATATTTGAGTAACATCACGTTCTATATGTGTATATATATATATACATATATCATATATCCCATGATTGTCGGTTAAGTACAGGATGGGGCCTCCCAGTTGTAAACTGGTTTATAAACCTGATGAAGTATAGTTATCTGTTGTTATATCTACCATAAACCATAGAATTCAGCCACTTATAAGTCAACTGAACGCTATCTTGGGGGCCCCATCCTGTATCCCCCATGTTAAAAACACTAACACGGAATTTCCGCTCCCAGGGCCTTGCGCTCGCTGTTCGGCGGCAGAACCTTGCCCTGCTTTGGACATCGGACGCCATCGGGTGTCAGGGTGCCAGATATGATCGATTCGGATGACCCATGATCATCCAAAAATTGATGTGGATGTACCCTCTGGTGATGACTAACAGTTTGCCATGGTATAGATGGCCCATAGAAATAGATGGTTTACCGTTCTTAAACATGGTGGATCTTTCCATGGCTATGTTAAATAACCAGAGGGTATATATATAATCATATGTACACATGTATATATATATATATACATTATTTACATTGGTAAGACATATCTTATTTATATGTATAATATATAAATACATTGGATGATGGTCTAAACCAAATGTTTAGTATATTTTGGTGTATTCTGATTTATACATAATCATACATATATATATATGTGTTGAAACCCCAGGGGTCTTGGGGTCCCACAGTTTAAGAAACTTCAATAGAAGAGACAAGGATTTGACAAGAAGCATCAGAAACTAGGCGGATACCATTTCTGGTTGATACTGATGAGGATTGATGAGGCTTGTTTTGATTCATTGATGACAGGTTATCTTCAGTAACCCCTTCAAAGATAGAAACGGTCAAATTGCCCATTTTTTTGGAACTGGATTTGTTTTTTCTGAATATGTTCAATCCATGGCTCAGTAAGGGCACAAGTGGTATTGGTTGGTAAGTTGCTTTGCTAACTTTTGAAGATGAAGGGTTGAGAAAAACACCGTGTGGAATAGGCAAATAATCTACTTTCACGAGCCATTTTCCATAGCAAACTGGAAACTACATTATCATCACTACTTTTTACTACTGGGGATGGCTCATTAACACTGCTTTAGTATACTTCAGTATACTTCACAGTCCTTTATTATCAACATGAGTAAAGTAGTAAAGTACACATTCAATAGAGCAATATTTACTATTCAGTACAAATTAGCACTACTCAGACTCATATTGCCAATCTATTCAGTCAGCCTTCGCCTCTAGGCTTCTTTTTTTTCGATTTTGGCCCTACTCATGATCTTTCTGAGTCATTGTTTGTCGAGGGCTGGCCTTTGTACGGAGTACAGGGCCCCCTTTTTTCAGCCTGTGGGGAGTGATTGCCTGTTTTTGCCTGTTGGGCCGCGCAATCTTTCTTTCCTCTCCACTGGCTTTTTCACCCGATCACAACGATACTTACCTGATTTTCCATTATTTTCCAGCCATGTTGTCCACCGTCATAAGCCACAGTCCATCTCACCAAGCCACGACTCAACGAATTCTCTGCGAACTCTCCGAGGCATGCAGGAAGATCCCAGTTGCGAGGTCTCCACGGCCTCCAAGTGGCCCATTGCGGTCTTCACCAGTGGGTCGCCCGTCACTGAGGTGGAAGCCATAGGGGCTTTGCAGTTCCAAATGGAGGGTAAACGGATGGTAAGCGGATGGTAAACGGATCTGCATTTTTCGTTTCTGGCAATTTTAGTTACTATAGATTCTGTTGCTGTCCAACCCCAATCAACACCACATATATGTTGTGAAATCTTGCTTTTAGCTCTGTACATACATACATACGTACGTACGTACGTCCATCCATACATACATACATGCATGCATATGCATATGCAATCCCCATTTTGGTCGCTTTGCTGAGACCTTCCAAACCATCGTCCCTTCGACGGTATCCCGAGGATCTGGGGTTCTTGTGAGATGTACACCCAATTCCTACGTGATTTGGCCTCCTATGGCATGGTGGTGATTGCCATCGAACACGAGGAGCAGCTGCAGCTTATGAAGCTAAGAACTGTATTTATGAGTTTTGTTTTGCGATTGATATACAGTAGTGCAGCAGATAAATAAGGATGTTTTGGAGAGTTCGCTTCATTCTTTCAATCTAAAGAACATATGCTGGGGCTTTTTGAAGATAGGAATCTGTTACATAGTTAGTTTTCTATTGTTTGCAATCCCAGAGGTCCCAATAGAGAGCCTCCAGGAAGAAGCAAGCGGATTCTCTTGCACGTACAGTGTAGAGGGACTCCCCAAGTCACCGACCAGTTACCAGTTGATTCTCAATGCTGAATATGGTCATTTGATGTCATTTGGAGAGTCGAGAAATTTTATGTTTGTTTTCCGTTTTCCCTTTGACGTTCCATTACATTACAAAATATCAATCGTAAAGCCAACAACTAATCAACCATCGATATGTTGTGACTGGAAATGGGTTGGATAGAGAGTCCCCTTGGGTGGAGTTTCACTATTGGTGTTACCACGCGAGTGTCCCACTTTGCAAGTTGTTAGATCTGTGAGATGTTGTAAAAATCTTGGTGCCCCTTAGCCTGGGACGCGCTGACTTTCTGTAAATCAATGAAGGATTGCCACCATTGCTACACACCACTTTTACGACTTTCAGCCCGTCCATTTGATGGGGATTCTATGTGATTTTCAGAATTTTTCGGACATGGTGCTTGGCCATCCTTCCAGTTGATGCAACATGTTTAGAAGTTTTTCATGGTTTTCCAAGTGACATTTGGCGAGGTCAAGATCGTCCCTCCTAGCATAGACCCATGAGTTGGCTCAGGGGCCAGCTGCTAGTTGGAATGGTCAATCCCTTTTTTTTCCGATGGTAAACTATTGGAAAGTTCCAATTATGTCACATTAATATTGGATAATTATGGGTATCAATTGGAGGCAAAACCAATTGGGGCAAGACACACGAAGTTCTCTGCCACAAAGTAGCGGAAGCGCTCGAAGTTTTCCGCGCCGCAATCGGATCTGGCCAAAGTTCCCTCCCACTTAAGCCGTCAAGGCAAGGAGAGGTGAAATGTGAAATGCTGAATCAGAATGAATCAATGAGGCAGTCTTCTCTGTTTAAAGAGCTGCTGCGAGAATCTGCAAAAGGACATGTTCCATGGGTTGCATGGCATGCAATCAATACGGAAGGGAAGTCCTTAAAAGAAAAACATGTCCGGCTCTCACTCTATGACTGTCTGCATGTAGTCCCAACGTCCATGTTGGTGAAAGAAAGCTGCACAATCTTCAAAGAATGTGGTTCCTGAGTCTGGATGTCTGGTCCAGGGTGGCAGGAAATCATGATGACAACCAGAGCAGCTTCTTCTACGTCGCACTCTCTCAGAATTTCGCAAATGGGTGCATCGATCAGAGCTATGCCAGCATTCCCCTCGTGGGGTGGTATAGATGAAGAAACCTGTCAAGATTTCGAGCTCCACCAAAATGCGGTCAAGTAGACCACTGGCCTTTCGAACGACCCTTTGATCTTCTTCTCGCTCTTCACTGCGGATCCTGTCATGATCCAAAACTTTCAACTGCAGGTCTTGTCTTTGCCAGTCAACGTCTATGATTTCATTACGAAGTTTCCTGATCTCAGCACGGAAGTATTCATTTTGACGGTATAGTTCAAGCCGTGCTCGATCCATTTCCAACCATCGGCGTCTCATCAGAAGTGCCGCACAAAAACAGCAAACGGAAAAGACAAGGTTGAAAAGGAAGATCACCCAAATCCAGTGAAAACCAGTGTGAGCAGTCGCGCTCGAGTTTTCGCCCAGCGCACATTGATCACGCCAGTCGTGGTGTTTGTCCACCATTGGCCACAGGGGGTCGCCCGCGCAACCAGCCAGCAGTGACAGCGCCATGACATACTTTAGACAAGGCCGCGCGACATTGCTCGCCCGGGCAAAGCTCTCCACAGGGGCTTTGACATTCACAGGAACAAAGGTCTCCGCAGGAGCTTGGGCATTCACAAACGTGTTGGCATTCTCAGTCACTAGGTCATTCGCAGGGTCAAGGGACTCGGCAGAGGCCAGGACATTCTCAGGAGAGTGCATGGGGTCAGAAACGTCATAGAGGTCAGAGTGCAGGACATTCTGAGGCACAAAGGTCTCGACAAAAGTGGCTTCATCCACCGAGACGTGCGCATCGTCAAGGAGTCTTTGCTCTTCGCAGAGATGTTTCTCATCCACGGAGCCATAGATCTCGTCAACGTCCATTGATTCAGTCCACTGCGGACGGTCATCATGCGTACCTTCTTCTGCTGCTTCAGTAGAAAGGTTGTGTGTGGTGTTGTGGTGAGTGTTGGTGGTAGTTGTTGAAAATTCCTGTCTGCTCCTGGCTCTCTGAGAAGCTGTCTTCTTCTTGGAGGCCGTGTACTCTGGGTCAAAGGTAAACTTGATGGCTCCATGTCTCAACCTGTCGCTCAGTAATTGTCGAGCGGCAACTTTTGTAAAGCCATCTCCAAACTGTCGCTCAGATGAAATCCATTTGAGCAAGCCACCGACACTTTCAACTTGTTCGCGGATCACTCGAAGCTCAAGGTTGGTGCGTTTGTCAGTCGCGCCATGGTTGATGCTGTCTCGATGAAAACTGTCGTACAAGGCCTTGGCATCTGTGATGAAGGTTGGAGTCAAGGTCGTGTTTGTGATCTGCAAGGTTTCCCGTAAAGTCAATCGGGGATCCATCATCATTTGCCAAAACCGCACCACAAACTCGGTGCTATCCACTGCTGCTGCAGCTGATTGAACTTCTGCTGCAAGACTGGAACGTGCCACTCGAGGCAGTCGCATGCTGCGCCATTCCAAAAGATGATATGGAGATTCAACTCCTGCATAGGCATCTTTGTGTGTCAAGAGAATGAGAAACCCCCCTTGACTGGAACCGTCGTGTCGTACACCAAGTGCTGCATCAAACATGCAAGTGATCCTCAAATCCTTCAGGTCTCCAAGTGGTGGAAATCGCAGGTGTACATCACTGTTGCTTTTTTGCAAACCGCAGCAGCCGATTTGCTTCGAGCAAGGGGCTTGAAAGTCCAGAACTCATCTCACCACTCAAAAGTGAAGTGGAAGCTTGGAGGTGTGGTGATGACTGCACGGCAGGCCACTGCAAGCTACCCAGCAACTGTCGCAACATAGTATGCTCCCTGTCAGACATAGGTTGGTGAGGCTGTCTGCTCTTTTCCAAGGGTAGAGGAGAGATCTTGCTGATGTAACTCTGATGGTCCACATGCCACGTGCCGTCATCATCGCGGTACATCTTCGCACCGCAATACTCAAAAGGCTCATCTTTCTGCCATGTGCGAAAAGAAAACGCTTGCTTCAACGCAGCTTCAGCAGCCATGTATGTTTGGGACTGAGGGTTCCCTGTTCCTAACATGTCATCAACATGGAGGGTCAAAAGTCCACAAAGAACAGGGCATTCACCTTCGGTTGCAGGCTCAAACAAACGCCAGAGACAAGGATCCAAAGGATGAGGTGTCCAGCCAAGTGAAGTCAATCTTCTGGTTGCTTCCAAGTACCATCGCTTTGGTGCATCCAGCTGCCCATAAACTGGCTTGATCAGGAGCATGCGGGTGTTTTCATCACCGCCCAGAAGTCGAAGCGCGTCTGGAGGCAATTTAACCCATAGCTTGCGCTCTTGTGGTAACCCCTGCAAGAAGGCTGTCGTGACATCAGCGCTCCAGCCGCACCAGTGCAAATTGGCTGAAATGCTGAGGAGGCAAGCACGCCCCAATCGAGTTGAGGCAGGTGATGCCGTGTCCAATCTGCCAGCCAGCGCATCAGCGTCTGTGTAACCCCGAACCACTAGGCGAGCTTTTGCTCGGGGTGAGCCATCTGGCTGTTTGGCCCATTTGAGTAGCATGCGGCTGCTCATAGTTCTGTTGGGATCGGCTTCTCGGGTGGTTTCAAAAGTCCACACCCCGTTTTCGAAAAACGAAGCCAACTCCTTCATCTTGGCCTGCTGAAAAAGTAGTCGATCTTGTAGACTAAGTTTGCGCTCTGAGATGTCGTTCTTGTTGTTGTCCTTGCGTATCTTGCGTTGGGCAACTACTTTCTGCTTCTTCCCAACTTGTTTCGCCGAAGAGACAGAGTAGGCAGTCATTCCTAACTCTTGTCTTGTGGCGCCGTTGATCTGAAAGATGGTGCAGCCCACCCATGGCTTGTTCGTTGCTGAGGACAAGTCGCCAATGACATCGTGGTAGTGTCTGACCTCGTTTGGTCCAGTGCAAACTGTCACTCTAGTAGGGTCAAGCTTGTCCAAGGTGATGGGGATGTGGCTCTTGTCCTTCTCTGACATCTTGTTCGGATCAAAGCGAGTTCTTCGAGGAACCACATGGTGCCGAATCAGGCATCCGCTCTTGATCTCCCAATAGTCCTTGGGCTGCTCGGTGAGCTGAATGTAGCCATTTTCAAATTTCCAGCCAGATGGGAGTGCCGATGAATCCAAATCTTCGACATCAAAGGCAGAAAAAACAAAGGATGCTCCATCGTCCTCCTTGGGCTTGGTGTATGGGCCCTCACCATGTGTTGAATCAGGAGGTGCTGATTCAGAGGCTTGTCGACGACTTCGAAAAGGTCCAAATGACATAGTCTCTTGTTGTTGTAGCCGTCGTCGATGTGCTCTGAAGTCTTCAGCAGTTGCAGGCTGGTAGTAAGAAGCTGTGATGGAATCCAATTGTGGTTGTGATGATGAAGGGATGCTGGAAGGTGGAGGCATGTCAGAGGTCGTTGGCCTGTTGGCTTGTGTTGGGCTTGGTTCTCTTGATGGTTCACCAACACTGATGGGGACATCCATGGAGGTGTCCAGTGGAAGCGCAGGATGCTGCTGGGGACCAGGCTCCTCAAGTCCAATGGGAGCTGGATCTGAAAGTCCAAGATCCATGGTATGTTCTGGTCCAACAGAGGCTCCAAGTCCAGGTGAGCCATGACTCAAAAGTCCAGGTGAGTCGCTTGCAAGTCCAGGCAAGCCAGCAGCTGTGTTGTCATCATTGCCAACCTCGTCATCAACAGGCATGGGAACCTCCTCATTGAGAATGGAAGGCTCGTAGGACAATGAGGGGGCTGGTGAGCCTG